GTCATTTTGATGTATTATGGTCCTTTTCTTCATAACAAGCATAAAAAAATCACTAGCAGTATGCTGATGTCTTGGTAGCTAGAAGCTGAAGTAGGACCACATTTAAAAAAAAAACTCAAAAACTCGCAAGTCCGATTATTTGCATTCAACTTTTCACATACTGCACTAAATCGAATTAACCCCTTACATGGCCAGGGCCCACTGGGAGGCCCAAGGCTTTATTACACACTTGTATAACCTAGGAATAGCTCCAGTTTGCACTGAAGTCCCTGTAGATACTGAATAATAAGCCTTAGTATGTAATAAACCTGCGGTTAAACAGGACTAATTATGTTCCCCTTGTAATCATCAGTGCAGATGGGAAGTGTTTGATAAGTACTGACATACTATGACATGCTCTGGTGTAATTTATCGTGATAATAATAAATATCATCATACTTCCCAACCTTAGTTACTGGGTTAGACCAGCCAGAAAAAAAAAACTCAGTTTTTGTCATTTTTACAGAAATCTACTGTTTTTTCAAATGTAATTTAAGTAATTTTAAATTAACGTTTTATTACACAATATTTCATGTGTTTGAAAGTGTCACACTGTTAGGACACATCATGTGTAGTTTTTTTGTTGTCATGTAATCAAGCTAACGACAGCACAATGGTCACAGTCCAGCACAGTAGCCTATCATTTTATATAGTGACTTTTATACAGTGACTCTAAACTCAACCTAAATTCATTAGGTTGAATTGGATTTTTGTGAGCGATCAACCTGGTAACAGTTGCTATGAGAGAACACATCTGTGGGCAGAGCGTGGCTAGGTTAGTTACACTGCAAGAAGATTTTGTGATTTGATTTGTTGACTCAAATCAAAGACAGCGTTCCAAATTTAAATGTCGTCCTTGAGCTTTCACTGTAGCTCTGTACCAGATCAGTGAAGCCTTAGTATGTGAAAGGCACCAGTTTCTAAGGCCCAGGCCCATTTTTTATTTTTACCTCTACCTTTTATTTTTGAGTGTCATCTTGCCCCTTGGAACTGAGTTGCAAGGGGTAGTGGTTGAAATCCTCCTCTACGAAATGGGCTCAAATAAAAAAGAACATTACTTCATTAACAGCTACCAGCGCTGCTCTGTAGGCGCCCCTGCCAGTCTGCAGTGATAGCAGAGGAGGGTAAAGTTCAGCTCCTCACTGCTGGGCTTTAGTTACATTTAGGACATCATATGCCTTCAAAGAGGGACGGGACTATTATTTATTATCACCCACCCTTAATTCTTCAGTGATAAGAAGCTGAAGTAAGATATTCACCAGCTTCTTGTTCGGATTTTCCCGTTCCACCTTAAATAGGGGAGGAGTTACATTCTGGCGGCTCAGGCGTGAGTACTGCTGGACTATTTAAGGTGGAAAGGGAAATGTAGCTACTAGCTACCGAGACATTAGCATACTTTTAGTGATTTTTTATGCTTGTTATGAAGAAAAGGACCATAATACCCTGAAATGACATTAAGCTAAGATAAAACAGTGATTATTGTAATTTTCAACAGAGAAAATTCTCACATTTGTGGGTTTCCTTTAATCGCTCATGCAGCCATCTCGCCGGTTTTCCTTTCTCATAACACCCTGTTTGGAGTGTGCCTCCGGAAAACCTCCGTTTGAAGGGCCATGTAGCCCTAACACTTCGCCCTACTCCTTTATCTCAACCAAAATCAGGACAGCCTACCCCTAGACATGAAAGGAGGAGTAAGGGGCGAGGAGTGAAATGGGATTGGGCCTTTGTAGGTATTTGTATTTTGAGTCCATGATAATGTCCATTGTTATTTTAGAGAAGAGGGGGGTGTGGGGGGTTGTGAATCTTGTTTGGAATGTTTCTGTTTACCACAGGGTGCAAAAGCAGCATGTTGAAAAATGCCATTCATTTTTCCCATAGAGAAAAACAGCTTAGACCTGGAAGTCCTTATACGGGCATGACGCCAACTACAGAAATGACGCACAACTTCAGTCGTCTACTCTGTGGTTAGACTTCACATTTGCATACTGCAGTCTTTCTTGCAACATATTTGTGCGCTATTAAATGATTCTTTTTTTTTGCCCACCATCACCCCTCATTGAAGGACTATTACAGCTTTATTTTTATCTAATGTATTGATGAGGGACAACATGTAAGCATAAACAGACAGACAAACAGCAGTAAGAGAAAGAAAAAAGATAATATTACATAAAAAGAAAAAAATAATAATGAGAAAATAAGCTAAGGACTTGAATGAGCAGCAAACATTAACAACACCAATAGTGAGTATGATAACATGCACTCAATAATCAGATCAGAATCGGATTTCTGCAGTTATCTGATTATCTGGTTATGTAAACAGTATACTCTAATTTCTCAGATTGGAGTTTTATGTATAGAGTAGTTTGAGACTGGTTGTTGGATCTCAGTCTGCCAGCTTCTCCAGTAAAGTTGATTTAGTGGGAGTTCAGTTACTGTTGTAGAAAGCTAATGTCCAGATCAGGTCATATTGAGTATTTTTGTGTTTGATGGATGCAGATATTTTATCCATAGATATAGGATCCAGTAGTGAATTTTTCCAGTGAGTGATAGTAATGCCATTTTTGGACTTCAATTTCATGAGGAACTATTAAATGGTTCTATACGCCCCTCTGTTCCTTACTCACATAACACTGCAGGCTGGATTGGTCTGATTTACTATCTCAGTGCTTAATTCCTGCTATCTGCTCCTGTTAATGTTTCATCGATTGCCATTTGTGTTGTTTTCGCCGCCCTTGGCAGCACTGAGATGTTTACAGCAGTTGCCTCGCTAGAATTATCCTTTAAGAAGTCAAAGCTCATTAAATTAACGAGAAGCCCATATAAATGTCTGCTAGTGGTCGGGAAACGTATTTAAAAATCTGTAAGTCACTGCCCACTCCCTGACCTTTTTAAAGCAGAGTCCGCTGTGAAACTCTGGCACTGGCAGTTCCTGTTTGAATGCGAATGCACTGTTGACTTAGTGTTAATATGTGAAGACCAGAACTTTTTGTGGTAGAGTTATTATTGGGTAAAAAGCCTCTGCTTGGCCTGGAGAACCAAACCTGCTTTTGATCCGTGTTTTCAACCTCAGTGCCCGTCAGCCTCCACTGTGTTTCTGCTATTTGCACAAGCTGGGCTTATTTTATCTGGCTGGTCTGCATTTGCTGGAGAGTTCATATCCTGGCCTTTGATGTGGTCCAGACTGAGCTACATTTAGCCAGCCGCCTGTACCGCTCCAGTAGGATTGGTTTTCATCTTTACCTGCTTGGATCTGTGGGTTTAGACACCCTTTCATCATATGATCGTGCATTGAAATACCTACACGAATGTGTGGGAGGCAGCAGGAATGTGTGAATGGGAATTTAAATGCCACACGTGATAAAAATGACTAAATTGACTGCCTTTTTAAAGGGTCCTCTAAAATTTTCAGCAGCACTGCTGATGTATACGCACATATACACTGACCGGCACCTCCTTGTTTCCACACTCACTGTCCATTTTATCCGCACCACTGACCGTACAGGAGCACTTTTGTAGTTCTACAATTACAGACTTCGTTCTCTGCATGCTTTGTTACCTTGCTTTTCAATGGTCAGGACCCCATCAGGACCCCCACAGAGCAGGTATTATTTGGGTGGTGGATCATTCTCAGCAGCAACACTGACATGGTGGATCAGACACAGCAGTGCTGCTGGAGTTTTTAAACACTGTGTCCACTCACTGTCCACTCTGTTAGACAGTCCTACCTTGTCAGTCCACCTTGTAGATGTAAAGTCAGAGATGATAGCTCATCTGCTGCCGCACAGTTTGTGTTGGTCATCCTCTAGTCCTTCATGGTCACAGGACGCTGTTGGCTGGATATTTTTGGTTGATGGACTATTCTTAGTCCAGCAGTGACACTGAGGTGTTTAAAAACTTCAGCAGCACTGCTGTATCTGATCCACTCGTATCAGCGCAACACACTCTAACACACCACACTAATACACTACAGCCTCAACTTTTACTGAAGTGCACTATTATGTTGATGGTAGCAAACCCTATAATATATGTTGATATTTCTATTATCAGGACAAATTACGTAAAATGATCTCACAATATTATTTGTAAGTACAAGTATTTAAGTACTTGAAACCTGACCAACTTCGCGTTTCTTTACAAAGAGGGCATAATTAATTCTGTATAATTGGATTTAGTGCAGTACAGTGTGTAAAACGTTATATTAAAATAATTTTTGATAGTATTTTTGATAGTATTGTGGCACTACTGGGGCTTTTTCACAAGTCCATTCCAACTTATTAAAACTTAGAAAAACCAAATGTTGTGATGCATATTGTGTATTATAAAAATGTCTTGAAATATTGTGAGCAAAAAAACCACCCCCTAAAACATGATATACCCCCTTACCGGGGTGCCTTTCTACATAGCTACCCGAATAAGAGGTTTTTGCTACCAGCACAGGCCTATTTGCACCCAACGTATCTATGACTATATTCACAAAAAGATCTCTGCTTTGTGTAACTTTCCATATGTCTCTTGCTAATTGCACTTGCAGTAATTGCTCTAACACTAAATTACCCGTCTTGCAAGCGCTTTCATCTCAGCACTCTCAGCTAATTGGCCAGCTAGTTTGTAATCCTGCTGGTTTCTAAATCTCATTTGCTTTAATTCTGGATTACCCAGTGAATAATCTCATCCTACACAAGAAAGAGCAGCTGTGGCTGTTCACAGTGGAATATAATATACAGTGAGCGCCCTTTCCCAAAATTGTCTGTTTCTATAGCTCATATACTTGCTGATTATTGTGTGTTACCGGTGGCTCATAAAAAAAATCATCCACCTCGGTATATTTCATTGAAATCCAAGCTGGATCTAGATATGCCTAACCAAGACACTAAACTCTGAACACTTCCCGTCCACTCTTAATGATTCATAGGGGTCCTGACCTTGTGCTGGTTTAATAGACATGGATTGTGCCACACTGCGGGACAGCTCAGCAACTCAGCAGGTCGCCAGACTGCCTCACGTTCATGTGTAGTGCTGAGATCAAACGCTGTGAATGTCAGGGAAAGCATAGCCTTTGTATGAGACGGAAGGGTATGTCGCTTTAAGCGGGCGAACATATGTTAACATGATCGGCTAATCGTCTTGCAGGGCACAGTGTGTTGCACCAGTAAAGAATGAGGGGACTTTGACAGTGACAGGACTCCCTGCTGTGATGTGCGTGTGTTATGTAAGTCAGAGGGGTCCAACTCAAGTCCTGGAAGGCTTGGATTTAGGCCTGCAACGCTGACATTTGCAGTACTGCTATTACAGAAGGCTGCAATATGCAAATGAGCCCTCAGACATATGGTATATTTTTTTATTGTGGTATTGCTCAGCATGCGTATCTCAAATGTTCCAGATGGGTTCATGTGGTTGAGTCAAGGCTTTCACATAATGGATGTGCATTCTGACTAATGTCATGAATTCACAAATGGATTTCTAGTTAATCACAGAGACGGAAGAAAAAAGCTTTCAGTACTTTTTAAATGATAGCACTGGCTAAAATTTAATAACATGTTTTATTACTCAAAAATAGCCCATGGAAATCGGTAAGTTTTCATGTTGGAGGCTGCCTGTTCAGATGAGTTAATAAGATGGATTACGTTGGGGACTTGTCGTCTTTTTCGCAAGATCTTTTCTCCTCAGTGAACAATATCGCTGCTATCAGAACAAAACCTTGTATCTCCAAAATGGTAACTTTACAGGAGAAGGAAAAAACCTACTTTACTTTTAATGTAAGTCAATGGAACCAGATTTTTTTTCCAAGTCATTTCGGCCGTTTCTTTTGGTCCATTTATAATTAAATTTACACACAATATAAAGGACAACAGGTACTTTAAAATTCTGTCAAAAACTGAAAATGAAGATACGAGGTTTTCTTCCAACAGCAGCGATATGCCAACATGTTAGTTTGTCAGAGAAATATATTTTTCACTCTTATTGGATCTAGATTGGACCAGCTAGAGTAGCCTAGTTAGCCAGCTCTGTCTTCATCGTCACATCCATAACAACCCGTCCTTGTTGTATAAATGAAACTGTACCTCTTCAGGGTAGAAGTGCTTTCACTGCAGTGCTAATCTCAAGGCTGCATCTTCTGTACTTGTGGTTAGGGAACATAATTGTAGTACATTCTGTTGCAAATATGTCTACATTTTTGGGTTGAAGTCTCTCCATACACCTTGTACTGCCTCCAGGTTTTTTATTTTGTTTTTCTACTTAAAAAAAAACACTCATGAAAAGGTACAAACATGCCCCTTTCTGATTCTGGTACCCCAGTCACAATTTCAAACCGTTAAATCAGTGCTCTGGTCCTCCAGGCCTGGAGTCTGACATCACTGGTCCATGGCATGTCAGTAGTACTCTGGTTATTTTGTCTGAGAACTATACTTGATAAAAAAAGCAGTAAAATTACCTCTTCCAATTTCCTGTCAACACTGACACAGATGTGGTTTTGCATGCAGTGGTAGTGTTTCATCTAATTTCTGTACCATTCCCTCTCATCCAACTTCACTCAATGCCCAAGGCTCCCCTGCTGCACAAACAGAGCGAGGCATGAAACGCTCTCTGTAGTCTATCATCAAATCTTCAAGAGGCCCTCTCTTGAGCATCTGCCTTGCTAAATGATTTGGTGTGTTTTTTCCGTAAGTCTTGCTGAAATGGGAACCGAGCAATTAGATAAAGAAACCATCTTATTCATCTAAGAGATGGAGATGGAAGTGTGTGTGTCAACGAAAGAAGGTCAGATAAACCCTTTCCCAACCAAGCATCTCTGAAATCTGTGGACTTTTGGACCTGGTCTCTGAGGGATAAATTGACTGATGTCTGGCGTTAAACAGAATTTGTGATTGCGGCCTTGGTTCTGCTGCAAGTCTTGATTTGTGAGTTTGTTTTACAGCACATTTACTGGTCCATGCATTATGAATGAACCTCCGTGGAGTTCCCCGTGGGGTTGTGCCCTTCTCCCGGGTTTGAGTTCCAATTGAATATCTGTCAGGATCAGCAGGTGCCGGATTAGCTGAGTGTCCGATGCTCCGGGTGTCCTTCAAGCAGCGGCACACTGGAGAATTAGGGCAGCTTGTGGCTCTTACAGACGCATTTGCCCTGCTGAGCAATGCTGGTGTCACACTTCCGTCATTCGCCATCACCCAGGATCCTGCCGTCAGACCAGTCTCTCGGTTTGATTCAGAATGCAAGGCATGGAGCTCTGACTTCAACAAGGATTGTCCTACGACTTGGGCTGCTGTAGCCTGCTTTGGATTTGCTGGATTTTTTTGTAGAGTGTTGGAGGCAGAACTGGTGGGTGGAGGATTCTTGCAACAGAATGGATTTTTGACTGAAGCAGCATTACTGTTTGGTGGACCGTCCAGTGGGTGTTAGAGATTGTAAGCTTTCCAAGATAACGCTCTTTCTTTCTTCAGATATTACATAAGGTCTCAGGTTCTGTTCATCAGTTGGGATTTAAAGTTCTGCCTTCTACAAAAGAACCTCTTGTTCTTATGGTTCTTGTCGAATCTCTTGTTGTTGGGTGGTCAGATTTTGCTTACCGTTTTTTTTTTCAGGACGGCAGTCTAACCTGACTTTGAGGGCATCTTGTTTTTGATAGTTTCTTCAAGACTCTGTCCATCGTCTCACCTGCATAAAATATCTAATCTTCTAAAGCTTTATGGATACCTTGTTTTTGATGGTTTCTTCAAGACTTCATCTGTCATCCCCTTTGCGTAAAAAACATCTACTCTTCTGAAGACTATCAGGATCACCTGTTTTTGATAGTTTCTTCAAGACTTTGTCCGTCTTCCCACCTGCATACAATATCCATTCTTCAAAGACTTTGAGGATACTTTACTTTTGATAGTTTCTTCAAGACTCCATCGTCTCCTTTGCGTAAAAAACATCTACTTAGGACATCCCGTTTTTAATAGTTTCCTCAAGACTCAAGACCCCTTCCATCTTTCCATTTGCCTAAAATCCAGTTTGCTGAAAACTTCGAAGATACACTGTTTTTGATGGTTCCGTCAAAATTCCATCCAGTGTCTCACAATATCTAGGTTCTGTAGTCACTCACTGCGTGACAAGTCACAGTCTGGCTTGCCTTTGCATGTGTTAGCATAAGCTTGGACGATACCATGTCCACTGAAGCCTGTCCCCTGAGCGAGGCACAGATTGCGCTGTGCAGGTTGGTCCATCGTGGCCCCAGACCTCAAGCCACGCTGAAACCTCTTCGAATGGAGCTGGGACTCTATGTGGAGAAGACTCGTGCTAAACAGAAACACAGGTACATGTGGGACACCGGCAGATGACTTGGCCCAGATTAAGCCAGCTAATCAGTTGTTAAAGCTACACTGAGCTGCAGGAAGTGGGGCAGAACCCAGGGTTTTGCCAGGAGTTGTCAGACAAGAACTTAGTTGTTGTTTCATTTGATAGAACTGATGCGGTTTGTGAAATATGGAGTGCCTTGCGATGCACTGATCTGAAGGTTGTGATTCAACTGCTTTGATGATTAAATAAATATGTGCTTATTATTTGGCCGGAATGAAAATGTAAACGTCAGGCAGTTTTCAACCATAAAAATTCAGAAAACATGCCTTTTTATTCTCTTGAACCCTGTTCAATGTCGATGTCAAAATCATCGATTTTGGATTGCATTGTTGTGAAATTTATGATTTCATGAGGCTTTGATTTAGAAATGCTTTAATATGTGAATCGTGGGCCGATACTAATATTTGGTATTTTTTTGCATACATTTATGTCAATGCCAGGGCTGATCCACGGACATTTAAAAAGTATAGAAACTGTTTAGAGAAACTGTTCGACGCAGTTGCCCAGTGTCCCCTAAACCTTTTGCTCTTCTGCAGTGTGATAAAAGCATCACTGAGTATCAATTTAAATTATGGGTCAGATGTAAACATCAGCCAGATATTGATAATTTTGCCAGATTCTGAAATCTTAACATGTGCCTGATGCCGATATCACTGTGCATCTCTACTTTTCCTAAAGCATCATAATCACATCGTTATGAGTTCACAGAGATTGACGATCTCAGACTAGAAGAACCTTTTCTTTTTCTAAGAACAGCAGTGAGTGTGGTTATGTTAATGCCTTTCCAGAATTCTTGGGAGATATTTTTATGACCTTTGTGTTACATGAATTGCTTTCAGACAGCTGAAAGTCTGCCACATCAGACTATATTACTGTCTGGCAGGCCTGCAGGGTAAATAAATGGTATAAGGGCAGTTGTTTTGCTAGAGAGGTTGTAGCAATGAATGTGGCAAGCTATGGCTTTTGTCCTCCTGACAAAAATAATATTCTGTCTGGCTGTATTTTTCAATACAGCGTAAAGAATATAGACCGAAGAATTCGAAGTGAAATTATGATGTTATTTCTGAGCCAAACAACTATGATTGCTGCCCTAACATTGTTAAAACTTAACCACCTTCTCTGTCTTTCATCAGGATGGAGGCATCTTGTCTGGAGCTGGCTTTGGAAGGAGAGAGGCTTTGTAAAGCAGGAGACTTTAAAGGTGGGACAGCCTTCTTTGAGGCTGCCGTTCAGGTGGGGACCGAAGATCTAAAGACCCTGAGTGCCATTTACAGCCAGCTGGGCAATGCATACTTCTACCTCAAAGAGTACGGCAAGGCTCTTGAGTACCACCGACATGATCTCACGCTGGCCAGGTAAGCATGGAGGACATGATGACGTTATATGCTGGAAATTGTGCACCTGTTATACATCAATAGACTTCATTCTGGATAAATAAATGAGCTCTTAATCATCTTATCGGGAGCTGTACAAACAGAGTCATGGTACCCAGTAGCTCTGTGTGTACAAACAGTGTTACTGGAAGTGGAAGCGTGGCTAAGTCACTAATATCAAATGTTAGAGCAATAAGCCGCGAGAGGGTGTGTGTTACAGTGATTTTATCGTGGTTTAGCCTAGGCGTTGACTTTAAAATCTTAACATATTGTACCTGCTATATTCTCCTGTATTCATCATTTTTTTATTCTACATTTTTATCATTTAAAAATATGTAGTTTCTCCTTCTAATATATTGCGTTTTACATTAGCTTTTTTTTGGCTAATGCATTGTTAGGATTGCTGCCCAATAGCAATCACAATATATTAAATGATAGTCTTTTTCTTTTAATATCTTGCATTTTATATTAGATTATATTTTTCTTTTATTTTTTTTTGTTAATGCACATTTAGGATTGCTGCCCAATTGCAATGACAAAGAAATATCTTATCTTTTTTCATTAAGACTGTGCTATTAATGGAGGAGCTGTTTAGATGAATAGATATCTTTTCTAGTTTGTTGACTTTAAAATCTTAACAGATTTCTAAAATGAAGAGCTTCACAAACTTAACATCAGTTTGTCACAGAGCTCACAGTAAACGACAAGGCAAAGAGAGAGAATAACACACATAATAAGTTTGAGCTACGACACAAACAAAGCTGAACTTACTGGACCTGTTTGTGCTTTTATGTGCAGTTAAACCGCAAACTGGGGATTGATATGTGCTGAGAAATGCTGATATTACAGTGAGAGCTGGAGAAATATTTCACCGCAAACTGACAGCTGAGCTGAAATTATAAGAGAAGGTTTTGACGTCTGGATCCAACATTATAAACATGATATCAGCTCCTGTCGGCCTGTGTTTTACACGCAGCTCCTCTGTCTCTACTCTGCTGTTCAGGCGGTGTTTCTCTGCTCTTCTAGCTCTCAGATGGCTGCTGTTGTTTGAATCACTCATTGAGTAAATCTCTGATCTTCTCACACTGCAGGACTTGCGAATGTTTTGAGTCGTGAACATCAAACATGTTTGATGATATCGGAGGGTCTCTGATCACCTCAGATTTCTATCGGGGAGCTAAAGATTCACTCGTTTCTCCTCTTACACTACCAGATTGGCTGCAATGTCAGCCACTTCTGATCGAGCTCCCGACCTGGAAAACCACTTCAGATTGTGAAAATTTGTTTCAAAGGGGAAATCGGGCTCAATACTCAGTAGACTAATTAAGGTTATTATTAATAATAAACATGATAATTCTTCCACCATGACGTAGTTCTTTCAGAGCATGTTATTGTTGCCAAGCAGCAGTGGATCGCTGGAAGAGGACAAGAATGTTCAGTCACCCATGTACATTGCAGTCATTTTATGAACATGTCATGATACAGCAGTGTATAATGCAATACATTCGCTTAATACATGTTTTTCTCAATATGTTACACTGCTAATTTCCATTAGCGCTTTTGTCAAAGCTAACGGTGCAGTACATTCATTTTCCCACACTGGGGCTGAATCTCAAAGAGAATGTCTCCCTACTTAGTGCACTGCATGCTCTTGCAACCAGACAGTGTATTATATATCCAAAAAATAGTTGTTTGGGATTCAGCACAATTCCATGTGCACAATTCCATGTTAGACAATTCCATATCTGGTAAAACACGGGCATTTGAAGGGTGTAAGACTTTCAAGACATAGTCTTCAGTCTTTCAGTCTTTCGGTGTAAGGCTTTGAACAACTTCTATACCAGTGCAGTAAGAAACCTGAACACTGCCCAACACTGACATTGTACACTGACACCTACGCACTAACAACACAGGAACTGAGCGTCTATCTGCACTTATCCAAAATATGCTCAAGGAAAATTAAATGATGTTTACATTCATTGGCACTTTTACATTTATTTATTAAACTGCATTTATTAAGTGTGTAAATAGAATCACTACCATGCATAAATGTGCAATACCCTCATATGCAATATTGTACCTGCTATATTCTCCTATATTCATCATTTTTTATTCTACATTTGTATCATTTTAAAATATGTAGTTTTTCCTTCTAATATATTGCATTTTACATTAGCTTTTTTTGGTTAATGCGTTGTTAGAATTGCTGCCCAATAGCAATGACTATATATTAAATGATATAGTCTTTTTCGTTTAATATCTTGCATTTTATATTATAAATTATATTTATATTTTTCTTTTATTATTTTATTCTAATTGTATTTTAATTTTTTTTATTAATGCACCGTTAGGATTGCTGCCCAATTGCAATGACGATGAAAATATCTTTTTTCTTTTTTCATTAGGACTGGGAGGAGCTGTTTAGATGAATCTTTTCTAGTTCTGGTTATAGTAGATCAGCCTAGATCTGGTTAAGAATTTTTTTAACAGAGCCAGGTTCTTATTTCAGTTCTTCGTGCACTCAGTGGTCCATGTGAGCGACATTACAGTCAAAGATTACACCTTTAACAGCACAGGCATTTTTTGTTGGATTACATAATATTACGTGCAAATGCAAATTATATACCTCTAAAATAAATTCCATTTGTGTTCGATTTACATTGTGTGAATTATAAGTATGAGTCTGCACTGTTTCAGTAAACATGACAAAGATACTGCAAAACATAAATAAATGTTTTTTTGTTTCCGCAAAACAAGGCTGCACAACATCAACCTTTTATCAAATTCATATCATAATAAATATTTTTCTGTTTACAAACACAAATGTGGAATGGACACACAGTTGCACACAGTTTCTCCACTTGTTTCGATGAGGTACAAGTCAGAGATAATCAAAGAAAATGTAAGGAGGGACAAGAAGACTAAAGGGCCCATATCATGACAAACAAACGTTTATTAACTATTTGAAATAGGAGTTTGATGTAGTGTGTAAACATTGTTAAGCATTCAAAACAATGGCTTTTGCAGATTCGATTAAATACATTCCGATTATAGATTAAGACTGGGGTGTTTATGCTCACTGTACTCAACACTCTGATGGAAAATCTCAGTTTACATGCTCACTACAAGTAATCCGATCCAAAATGATGCACATGCGTAGAGAACCACTTAGAGTAAACGTTACCATGACAATGAGCATCATGTGAGTCCAGTCAGTGAGATGAGTTTTAGGTTGGCATGCTTGTGTTTTTTATTGCTTTAAAATTACGACAGACTCAGGAAAACGTTCTTCACATGTCCTTATTAAAGAAGGCCGAGAGGAAGACGTCGTGTTCTGAGACACATAAGCTGGACGTCCGTCCCACCGCCGTCTTTTAAAGCTCAGAGCATAAACTTCGTCTCCTCTGCAGACCAGTTTCTGCTGATGTTCTGTTGAACGTTATAAACTTTCACCATGATGCGATAAAACGATAACGATAATTATCGCGATATAACTTTTCCTCGATAGAGCGATGCGGCATGTTCGATAAATGTTCGATATAATACACCATTCTCACACCTCCACGTTCAGCAAAAGCCTTGGTGGCGTTTTCTGCTGCAAGGAAAGTGACACTACTCTGCTGTCGCCAGAAGAGGGTGCACTTGCGAGTTTTTCTACATGATTAGTGAGGGAGGGGCCACGAGTAAGATGAGTCTTTAGCAACGGCTGAAACGCGGAGTTATACAGTCCCTGTTTGAGTGGAGCGACCGGTGATCTGCTCTCCTGTGACCGAGTGTGAGTGACGAGGTCAGTGGTGTAACTGTACTGTCCTACAGCGAACTCACCTCTTTCTGTACATCCTAACCAGCTTTAGCAGCGTTAAATCACAATCCTCACAACTACAGCACTGTTGCAGCGCTCGGACAGTCATATTTAAGTATGAGTGCATTCCCAAGCAACGAAAGTGAAAGAAAGAAGTGAGTTCATGTAAATTACAGCCCTGATTTAAAGAAAGTAAACTGAGGAAGCTCTGAGGCAGTGGAGAGCAGGAGAGCGCTAGCTTTCCAGACTAGCTGTTTTTAGCAGCTGGCTAACTTGAAGCAGCGCTCCGTCACTCCACAACACGGAGAATTGATGATACTGTAGATCAAACACGACACAAAAGCACCGCTTTCAGTTTAAACGTACCTAAAAGGAGGACTCAGTTTGTCTGGTGTTGATATTTTGCGGTTCACCCCTTAAAATACTACGATATTATAGAGAAATCCAGTCGTCGCTAGCTGGTGTCTGGATACTGTGTTGTCATTTGTAGCGGGGTAGCCGAGCGCTCGGCACCAGCTAAAAATAATCTGTTTTCTTTCTTAAATTATGACTATTACAAAATAGCGATGCTTTTCCAGCTGGTAAAAACAGCTCACCAGACACTTTCTCCCACTCTCCCATGACAGATTAGTGAAATGTCCCACTGTTTGGTGAGTGTTTGTCGTGTTCCATAAAGAATAGTTTAAAACAGCAATTAACCACCCAGGACCAAAAATCAGCCTTCAAACTTCGAACGATATGAATTTTGTTTATCGTGATAACATTTTTGGCCATATCGCCCAGCTCTATGACGAACATGAACAGAACGTACTTAAACTTTCCGATTGGGAAAGTCATCAGATACAGGCGACTACATGGTTAGAAATGGTATTCCGAATGGCCTTAATCAGACTAGTCCATTCTGACTGAGGTGTATGCACGAATTCTGTTCCGATTGAGCTATTAGATTGTTAACGGATTATTAGCCTGCATGTAAACGTGACTAATGAACTCTCCAGTCCATACAGTCCATATGTGGAAATATAGCTGTAAAAGCAGCTTACTTTGAATTCTTTGTGATTGTGATGATACATTGAATCATCACAATCACGTCCTCACTCTATTCAGAACTCCAACTCCCAGAATGCTCTGGGGAATCACATGACCACAGACTCTCAATCATCCACCTATCCACGCTCCCGTACACCTAATTATTGATTGTTGACACCTGTTATAGTGCCTGTATAACCTGTTTGTGTCTGTAGCCTCATTGCGAAGTGTTGTATGAGTCTACTGTGCATCACCGAGCCTTTATTTCTGTGTTTGACGTCCCGTTTTGTTTTCTTGCTCGTTTTCTCGTTCTCGATTCTAGCCTGACCCCCTTTTGGCTCTGTTTTCTCTTTCGTGTCGTGACCTTTAGCTCGTGTTCTGTCATTCTGATTTAGCTTAGCCTGCATTGCCCTGTTTGCCTGTGTATGAACCCTCGCCTGTTTTTGTGCTACGATTCTGGATTAGCCCTTATTACACATTTTAACCACAGCCTGCTCTGCGAGCGTCTGACTCTTTCAAAGCCATCACACCTATTCAGCTTACAGCATTTTAGCCCTGCCCACTCACACTGAAGCTATAAGGAAGCCCAAACTGCTTTCCTAATGATGCGTAATACAGGGCAGCCAATCAGAACAGAGCTCATTTACACACATCAGTCCTAAAGGCACAGTCACAAAAAACAGCCTGTTTAGATCTAAGGGACAAAAAGAGGCTGGAAAGTTGTCATGCAGAATGAGTTATGATTATTTTTGGTTCCTAAACACAGATGTCATTAATCAACATCAGGAAAAAAACAAATAAAAGACAAGAAAAATGTAGAATATGTGCTCTTTAATTTAACTTCATTGCAGTCTTTCGCTGTGATTAGTAAACGACAGTAAGACACAGGTGTCTGGGGAGAAGCAGATTTATCTGACAGCTTTGTTTTCTCTGTAGGACAATAGGAGACAGGATAGGGGAGGGGAAAGCGAGCGGGAACCTGGGCAACACTCTGAAGGTCCTTGGACGCTACGATGAAGCGGCCGTGTGTTGTCAGAGACACCTGGACATCTCCCAGGAGCAAGGAGACAAGGTAGGAGGACCTCACGGCACAGTATATTAATTACTGAGAATTGTCTTGATACATTGGTAATATTGCAGAATATGCAAAAAAGCCTCTAATCAATTGATAAATGCTTTAATTTTATGCTGTGAGCATCCTGACCAATCACAGATGTTTTGATCGTACAGGGGAATCTTAAAGGGAAATCTTGCCAGTCGTTCAAAATGTTGACATCAAAAAATAGTTAACGTGTAAACAGAGTTGTTCAGAGTGGTTTGGTGTGAAATGCTCTGTTCTAGAGAAACTTACCAAGTCAGAATTGTTCACAGTGGTGATGATAGGAACCAGACGTCCATCTCTAAAAGCTCCCTCACAGAAAGTTACTACATTAAATGGTTATGAATTTACTGCCTGATGTCTGAGACATTGTTTTATGATAATTTTAAGAAGGTTTTCAGGTGAAACGTCAATTTATATACATTTACTGCAGAGGGATACATGCAGGACGTTGTGAGGCAAAATAGTCCCCAAAGAAAACTTTTTTTTTCTGATTTATCACTATTTTACCATCATCAACATTCCGTATAAAACTCAGAAGACCTGTGTAGGTTCACTGCTGGTTTTGGATAGTAAATAAAATGTATATATATTTGTGTTGTAGTCATGGTGACTCCTGGTTCTTATCACCACCACTGTAAAGAAATCTGAACCATTTCACACCAAACCGCTCTGAATGTCTCTGTTTACATGACTCTGTTTATCTCAAACACTGAATTATGCAGAAATTTCCACTGTAAAAATGCAAGTCAGCTCAGCTTAAAATGATAGTTACTTATCGCAGTGCATTTCTTGAGGTGTTTCAGCTTGAGGACACTAGAGTTCATCCAACATAGTCGTCTAAGCATTCACCCATCAGGAGGTCATGAGTTTGAACCCCAGCGATGCCACAGACATCCATAACTCTGAGCCCAAGAGGATAAAATGGCTGCTGGGAATGTATGATGGAAAAAGTCCCAGCAATTGGGAACCTATTTATCGTTTTTCAGTTATTGACATAATTTAAAAATATCTATGGCCTTTTACAATGTGTGTAAATTGTACGATGAATGGACTGAAGGAAATGACCCAGAATTACTTTGAAAAAAATTCTGGTTCCATTGACTTACATTAAAAGTAAAGTAAGTTTTTTTCTTTCTCCTGTAAAATTTTTGAGATATGAGGTTTTGTTCTGGCAGCAGCGAAATTCTATATTGTTTATATGTCTGAGATGCAGAACTAAAAAATGTTTGACTCAAGTAAGGAGTTTGAATTGGGAGAAGTCTTGTGCCCTCAAGTTAACTTAACTCAAGAAAAGCAGTGTAAAATGTTACATTATAATTATAGGTTAAGCTGACTTTTCATTTTTAGTGCTGAAAAATCAGCTACTGCAGGAACCCTTTCAATCCCTTGACTAATAATTACTCTTTAATAATCATAAAATAATTTCATGGCTCCTTTTTTTGTTCCTTTTTCTAATATTGTTACGTTTATCACATAATAGGGTCAGTGAAGGTCAGTCTGCTCTCGCTCAAAAAAACTGGCCCTGTTATGAAACATGACACCGAAAACAATGATGCTTAATTCCACATACACACTCTTCTTCCTGCAAGCTTTCTATCCACAGTGGTCCACAAAGCTCCCCGCCAGATGGTGCGCTGAGAAATGGCGGGTCTTTCCTTTCACACAGGGGTGTTATCCTACAATCAATATTAGAATGTCAGCACGTCTGCAGGTGGCTAAGCCCGCTGTAAATTTAATCACTCAGCTCAGTGTACCTCTCAGAAGAGACCGGAATGGCTCTGGATGTGGACTCTGCGGCTTTTGCCATGATAATACTGTTACTGATCATGAAAGACGTCTTTGATTGAGTTAAAATTGGTTGTCTTAGAACACTCCGACAAGTTGTTCCCACTCCCAGTCTTGGAAACCTCACTCGGTGCGCTTGAGTGCATTGTCATATCTAGCACACCTGATTCAACTCATTTAAGGGTAATGTAAGTGATTTAAGGCATAGGTCAGTCATTGAGATGTAAACAGAGTCATTCAGAGTGGTTTGGGGTGAAATGTCTTAGTTTAGACACTCAAATGCGAATATAGTATTATCCGAAATGAGCAGTGAACCTACATGTGTCTTCTGAGTTTTTATATGGAATGTTAATGATGGTAAAATAGTGCTTAATCTAAAAAAGCGACGTTTTTTGGGGACTGTTTTGCCTTAAAATGCTGCACGTGCACCTCTCCACCTTAAATAGGCTAAATAAAATATGCTTTAAGCTGAAACCTGATCTCGAAAACTATCGTAAAACAGTGTCTCAGACATCAGGCAGTAAATTCATAACCATTTCATGTAATAACATTTCTGTGAGGGAGCTTTTAGAGGTGGACGTCTGGTTCCTATCACCACCACTGTGAACAGTTCTGACTCTGTAAGTTTCTCTAGAACAGAGCATTTCACACCAAACCACTCTGAACGACTCCATTTACATCTCGGTGCTTGAACTGTGCAGAATATGTAAATATCGGTGGAATTCCCCTTTAACTTATTAACAAGCATCTTCTTTGCTAGGTCAGATGTGTAGAGCACATTTTTTTTCCATAATTTGAAAACACTTGTTGCTGTTTACATTGTGTAAAAAATCATGATGAATTACCCAAAGATTTAAATAGAATATTTACTGAAAATAAAGTCTTGTTACATTAGCTTACATTAAAAGTTAATGTTTTTTTCCTTCTACTGTGAAGTTTGGAGATCAAGTTTTGATTAGGCATCAATATAAGTGTATATACATACACTGAAAAAAGATGGTTCTTCAAGGGTTCTTTTATAAAGAAAATGGTTCTGTGTAGAACCATGAACGCTCAAAGAACCATTTGCATGAATAAAGGGTTCCCTGCATCATGAGAAGATTCTTCAGATTGATGGACAATGTGCTGTAGATGATACATAGAACTTTTTTGAAAAGGGTTTTATTTAGCACCAAAAAAGGTTCTTCTATGGTAACAAGCTTGACATTGTAGTGATAGAACAGTGCTTTTTGGTGATGTATGGAACCCTTTTCAGAAGGGTAGAACCACCTACAGCACATTCTCCATCAATCTGAAGAACCCTTTCACGAAGCAAAGAACCCTTTAATCACACAAAGGATTCTTTGAGTGTTCATGCTTCTATATAGAAACATTTTCTTTACTAAGAACCCTTAAAGAACCATCATTTTCAAGAACGTAAAGACATTTTAAGAATGTGTGTGTGAATATATACACATAAACTCTGTATATGTCAGTGTTGTTAGAAGAAAACCTTGTATCTCCAAAATGGTAACTTTGCAGAAGAAGGAAAAAACATACTTTACTTTTAATGTAAGTCAATGGAACCAGACTTTTTTCCAAGTCATTTTGGGTCGTTTATTTTGGTCCATTCATCATGAAATTTGCATACAATGTAAAGAGCAACAGGCATTTTCAAGACAACAAAAATGGAGAAACGAGGTTTTCTTCCGAGAACAGCAATATATATATATATATATATATGCATTCTGTAATTACACTGTAACCTGCACCAGTGTAACCTCACCTCTCTCTCTCTCTTTCTCTCTGTCTGTGCTGTGTTAGGTTGGAGAGGCCAGGGCTCTGTATAACATCGGTAATGTTTTCCATGCTAAAGGAAAGCAGCAGCTGTGGGGCTGCTCGCAGGAGCCTGGAGACCTGCCGGCCGACGTTAGAGACACCCTGCAGAGAGCTACTGCTTTCTACGAGTGAGTGACCAACACTGCACTGCCCTCACGCTTACAGTGAGACTGATAAAATGGTTATAAATGCATTTTTGGTGTCTGAGATGAAATCAAAATAACTGCATGCAGTTTAGTATTTAACCCTTGTGTGATGTTGATGTGTGTGTTACTCAGTGGTCTGGTGGACCCACCGCATTATTGTTTTTAAATCAATACAGCCATAACAATTTATATAAAAATACCAGATGTTTAAAATATCACAAGTGTCCAGCGTAGGGTTCTCCTTTAGCAGCTGTAGCCAGTCAGCAGCCTCTACATGTTGTCCAGCCTCACACACACCACAGACACACATGTAGGAGGAGAACAGAGTGAAGGACACAGCACCTCCACACTTTTATTCCCTGTTGGTTCAGCCCAACACCACATGTGTAATATAAATGTGTAGGGGTTGAACAGAGTGAAGACACTGAAAATGTTATTTTATATGTTCGTGACAGAAAATTAGCAAAAGCCAAGAAACCTGAGGTTGAAATAATAATAAATCATATCATTTTTTCTTTTGGTAAACAATAAAAATGGGTCCCAGAGACCCCAACACCACACATCACACAAGGGTTAAACCCTTAAGTGTTTTTTAAAATCAATATTTTATCTAACAGTATGTTATTACACCTTGGATGATTATTTGAGCTCATCTTTTTGAATTACTGCTGATCTGTGTTTGACTAAAGCGATTGGAGGCTGTTTGATTTGTTGCTGTATGAAGTGATCTCAGCCAGTTTTATCAGTTATCAGTTACTGCATCTGTTGAGAGTCAAGTACACTGTTTACACACTGGAGCCTCATTAGTTTGAGTCCGTTTAGACCTGTTTATCAAGGAGCACTAGAGTCTCTCACGGATAACTGTGCATAATATTTACATTGGCTCACATACATGCAGCAGCAGCAGAACCAGAAGTGTCAGGTGCAGGAACGATCAGCCATGAGCAGGATTTAGTAAAGCGTGATTTTCCACTGAGGCAGTGTTTGACTGTAAACCTCATGCAATAGGGGCTCTGAGGGAAACCTGACCTGCATTATGAGCAGAAAAACAGTCAGAGACAAATGGTGAGCATACTTTATGTAGATTAAATAGTACTTTATCATCTTTATATATATTTTTCTCTATGTGGCTTCACCATTTATCTTTGATAAAATGATCTTTGCAAGCTAACATTTGAATTAAAGGGGGGATTTTTCACATTTTCTGCATAATTAAATGGTTAAGATGGAAACAGTCATTCAGAGTGGTTTGGTGTGAAATGCTCTGTGCTAGAGAAACTGTATTACAGAGTCAGAATTGTTCACAGTGGTGGTGATAGGAACCAGACGTCCATCTCTAAAAGCTCCCTCACAGAAAGATATTACATGAAATGTTGGAATGACTCCTGAGACATTGTTTTGCGATGGTTTTGAGGAAGTTTTGTCCTAAACTTTTTTTATGAAATCCATTTCTTACGGAGAGGTACATGCAGGGTGTTGTGAGGCAATATAGTACCAAACGGAAACTTGTTTTTTCAGTCATTAACATTGCATATAATAACTCAGAAGACACATATAAGTTCACAAGTGGTGGGTTATAAGGTATTTGCCTGGTAGACGTGATCCTAACGCTTGAATTAATATCAGATTTAAAAAAAATGGGGGAATTCCCCTTTAAGTTCAATAGGCAGACAGTAGGAACTCTGCTTTTTGCATATGTAAATGCCTAATTCATGTTTTTATGTGTGAATGTTGTATGAACAAATGTAAAATGTGTTATAAATAAAACAATCATGATGTATTTGCATGGTAGACATTGTTGTAATGTTTGAATTTTTATCAAATTTTGAAAAAACGGTGTAATTCCCCTTCAAGTTCAATAGGCAGACAGTAGTTGCAGACAGTAAAAAAGACACTAGTTGCATATGTAGTTTTTTGCATATGTAAATGCCTGATTCATGTGTTTATGTGTGAATCTTGTGTAAATAAATGTTAAATGTATTTGTTTAAAAATGGTTTTGGTTTTTAGTAAATAAAATGATTATACAGTATTCGCATGGTAGACATTATCCTAACGTTTTAATTTATATCAAATTTTGAAAAAACGGTAGAATTCCCCTTCAGGTTCAATAGGCAGACAGTAGAAACTCTGCTTTTTGCATATGTAAATGACTAATTCATCTGTTTATATGTGAGTCTTGCATAAGTAAATGTGTAACATGTATTTGTAAAAAAACCTATATGGCATTTATTAAAATTCATCCCTGTAAAACGTTTATATAATATCAGTGACCTTGTCTAAGGATGAAGTTCCACTGAATGACTGCTACTCTTACTCCTGACTGTTTTTCAGAATGAACCTCTCGTTGGTGAAAGAGTTAGGGGACCGGGCGGCCCAGGGCCGGGCTTTCGGTAACCTTGGCAACACCCACTACCTGCTGGGTAATTTTGTCGAGGCCATCAAGTTCCACCGGGAGGTACGAACTCGGCTTTCACAGCTCACACTGAGATCACTTAGACCTTATTGCCATGGTAACACTGACCTGTGACCATCAGCCTTACTTGATACATCTAAAAAATGTACAGTCTGGCAAAAGTAAAGGCGCCCTTGATTAAGATCAGCAGGAAAAAAAACACAGACTTGTGCAGATGTTTATAAGTTTCCAGTATGTTAAACTCGGCAAATAAATAGAACTTGTGCACTAAAGAAACATAGCAATCAACAAATTGTTATTTGATAATTTTGGATGTTTAAACTTTTGCTTATGACTGTATAAAAAAAGACATTTAATTTTTTACATGGATGTTTTTTCTTTGAATTAAATGGCCAAATTACATTTTGCATTTTTCTCAAGCTTTTAATTAAAGGTCTGTCTGATTCCTAATGGCCTTTTTCTGCACACATTTTTTTTTTTTGCTTATTCAAATAATTATTTTAATAATAAACTCCTAAAGAGTATTAATTATTGTTCTTCTGCTGTCTACTTACTTATTGCTACAGCTATCACATGTGCATGAAATATTTGTGTTTCCTGCTTGAGTTTGACCGTCATTAATACATTAAAAAACATGTTTGTAGTAAATAAAGACTGAGTACTAAGAAAAGTCACTGATTTTCTCCCTCCAGAGACTTTCCATCGCCAAGGAATTCGGTGATAAGGCAGCGGAACGGAGAGCGTACAGCAATCTTGGCAATGCGCTCATTTTCTTGGGCCAGTTCACCTCTGCAACGGAGTACTACAGGTAACTGAGACTACACTGACACCCAGAGGACTACAGAGGTGCAGCACTAGTACCAGCTCTGTTACCTCTCAGCGTCTGTCTCTATGAGAGTTTTACAGTGTATTCACAGCTGCCTACCAGATCACCTGAAATAATGTTTATCTATTTATATGAACTCACATTAAAAGTTAAAGTTTTCTCATGTAAAGTTACTATTTTGGAGATACTGTTTTTTTAGGCAGTGATGATATGACAGATTACCACAGACAGTCATTTCCCTGTAAGAGCGGGAGCACATTTATAACAGAAGCCAGTGGGCAGTCACTTTATTGTTTTGGGTTAACATTTTGTCTGTAAAAAAATGCAAATGCTGCAAAACACATTGAAATTGTCTGTGGTACAAATACAGAAAAGAATAGAAAACACACTGCACTTACACAGTAGCCAGTGAGAACATGTTCCAGTGACCGCCCTTTGACTTTCGTCATAATGAGTTTCAACTCAGTGACTTCAGTGTTCTTTTCTAAGAATAGGAAGATTTGTTTGAAATGATTGTCTGCGGTAGCTGACTGTATGTTACAGGTCTGACAGACGGAGATTAGGTTGAAATACGCTGTATGATTTACTTCTTCGCCAGCTGCCAACTGCACATCCTGATTTTCTGTCGCTTTAAATTCTAAAGGTCTGGATGTGGGTCCACACCTCAGTTCCTCGCTCATAACTACAGATCGTACATTGGTTTAATAGTTGATACTGAATAATTCAAAATAGTTACTGAATACTTTATAATAGATAATGAATACTGATACTAGATACTAGATATTCATAGTAGGTACTGAGTACTTCATAGTATATACTGAATAATTTGTAGTAGTTACTGAATACTTCATAGATACTGAATAATTCATAGTAGATACTGAATACCTTATAGCAGATACTGAATAATTTATAATAGATAATAAATACTTATGTTAGATACTAAATATTTCATAGTAGACACTGAATAATTCATCGTAGTTACTGAATACTCCAGACATCAAATAGATTTAATCTAAATTTAGTTTTCTCAAGTACCTGAAACCTTTGCACTGTATTATATAGGTTTTTTTTCTATATAGGACTACAAATAGGAACAAATATACAGTATATTTATTTAAATAACCCTTATGGTGATGCAGTCGCCATTACTGCTGCACATTTTACATTTACGCTTCCCTGGGAGTGAGAACACTTGTCATGTTTGTGTCTTGAGCTGTGCTTGTGTGTGTTTTGTGGTTGGCTGTATAGACGTATGGTTAAGTCGCTCACACACACTCATGCATGACAGCCATTCTGTCACTGCAGCCGTTAGTCATGTGTTTATTGCAGAAACTCGTATCTTGATAACAAAAAAATACAATTTATCATGCAGCCCTAGTATTTGACGAATAAGGCATCTTAAGATTAATAATTGATAATAGGCCTGCAGTTTAAGGGGCTAATTGTGTACACTTTGAGCAAACTGACAGCCTCTGTGAGTTGACTGAGTGCATTCAGAGCTTATAAGTGTAGATCTAAACTCTGCTTTTTGTGTGTTCGTCCATCAGGAAGACGCTGCAGCTGTCCCGGCAGCTGAAGGACCAGGTGATGGAGGCACAGGCGTGTTATAGTCTGGGGAACACCTACACACTGCTGCAGCAGTATGACCGTGCCATCGACTACCACCTCAAACACCTGCTCATCGCACAGGAGCTCAACGACAGGTCTGCAGGCCTTGCTGCTCTATCTAATGATAAGCTCAGCTAAGCCCTGCAATGAGTCTTTCAGGTTCTTCAACAGACTGAGGCTGTCACTTTCAATTATATTGGTGATCTGGTGGTCTTTCAAAGATCCAAAAATACTTTGCTGAAAAAAAGATCATCTAGGAAGTCCTTGAAAAAGCTTCATTAAAAATATATTTAAATGACCCAATTACTGGAAATTTGAATTTACCTTGCTTATTTGAAATAAAGGAGCACAATGACGACATACAGTCCATACAGTCCATAAATGGAAACAACTGCCCACTTTCGATTGTTTCTGTGATGTCACAAGAGCCAACTCATTTACATACTGTATACATCCACCTGTTCATCCTACAGCATTTTAGCTCCACCCACTCATATTTAAGTTCTAATAAGTGTTTTAGGTCAAGTGCTTTTTAAATGCTGGCACAATACAGGGCAGCCAATCAGAATAGAGCTTAAATGCACAGGAACAGCCTGTTTATTTATAAGGAATAAAGAAAGATTAGAATCATATAAATGTGAATTATAGCCATTTTTGTTATATAAAAGTGGACTGACAAGTGTAGCATATGGGTCCTTTGAAAACAACATGATGCAAAAATGCATAAATGCATAAATGAGCGTCCATTAGACTGTTTCTACTGTAGACTATAAACTATTCATTGGAACATTATTAAAGCGAGACTTTATCTCAGCGGGAAATTTGTTTACAGACGGTCAGAGATTAATGTATTTCAGCGAATGGTAATTATGGTCATTTTCATCTGGCAGGAAAGAGTTTCTCTGATTTCTCATGTCCGTTTCAAGGAACTGACTGATATAAACGACAACAGAACTGGAAAAATCTGTGTGTGCATCCCCAGTTGACTGTAATGACCCTAGAGTAGGGGTCGGCAACCCAAATGTTAAGAGCCATTTTGTTCTTTCAACAATAATCAAACCACATGGTTTGTGCTAATGTCCTAGTATAGGATAAAAAATATAATATAAATGAAAATGCAAACTTGCTTTGCTCTGCTTTAAGCTTTAGCTCTGCTATAGCCGCTTTTTTCGCATCTCCAGCAGGAAACTCCTCCTCAAAAGTAGAAGAATTTCTTGTAAAATGTCTCTCAATGTTCGACTTTTTATGAGGCTGAAGTCGCTTCTCATTCGCCAGCCTCTTCTTCTAATTTTCCCATTCCACCTTAAATGGTGGCAGAATGTAACTGCTGTACCATTTAAGGTGGACTGGGAGAATTCAAATGAGAAACTGACTTCAGCCTCGCAACTTTTTAGTGTTTGACAGTTTCTCGTTGCAGATTAAACGTATCAGTAAACCAGCTGGAGTGGTTATAAATGCAAATAAGTCTGTTCGTCTCCAAATGATCGATGTTCGTCGTAAATCTCTCTTTGCCCTTTCGTTAACTACTGGCTAGGTGAGATTGCTGTGTTGCTATGGTGACCAGCAGTCTGCGTGCCAACCTTCAAAGTTGAAGGGTGAATCAGCAGATGTACATGAACTCTAGCGTTTATCACCCTTTTGTTGTTTAGACTGTGTTACAACGATCAGCAGAGCTTTATTTTACTGCAGAGGAGGATTATTTTATTTTAGAAGTCTGATTCTGCTGTGGTGCCGTAACAGGGCAGTAAAAAAGCTGCATGTTGCTGACCCCTGCACAAGAGTACTAGCCATGCTCCAAGTCTTTGGCTGGAACCCAGCAGGCTCTCCTTGCTGGCCTTCAGTATCTTGCTTCAGCACCAGTGATATTAGAAGGACATTTAGGAGTTCCACACTGATATAACAAATCCTTTGAGTGAATTCTAATTATGAGTTATCCACACTGTATGATTGAAATTGGATGGAGCTCCATCACTCCAGAGAACGCAGTTCCACTGTTCCACAGCCCAATGCTGGGGTACTTTATACTCCTCTGTATGAACTTAGGCTCATGTGCAGCTGCTCCAGAGTGACCCACAATATTGGTCAGTGCTTCTGTATCAAGCTGTTTGCGCGCAACTGAATGTCAGTATCAACAACAGATGCACCTCAAAGTATCTGAATTCACTCATTAGGATGGCCGTCTAGATGAGTTTACTCACATAAAGTATAACAAAAACTTAATGAATTCTAACAGTAACTAAATTCTGCAGTGGTTTCTTGCTATATTTTTACAACACATACAACTTCATCCATGTTGGGCAAACAAAGGGTCTTTTTTATTGGTTAAATAATCTTTTATGATCTTTAATCCAGCCTTGCTTTTTAAATATTTGTAAGTTTTCTGCTAGTGGTTTAATAGACATAATTGTTGTTTTTTAATGGATGTTACAAAGCTAATGTATATAAGCACACATTGCTACTGTTTGTTAATTGTGTTATACTGCTAATCAAGGCTCTTTTTCCTTGCTGCAGGGTCGGGGAAGGCCGTGCGTGCTGGAGTCTGGGAAATGCCTACGTGTCTTTAGGAAACCACAGACAGGCCCTGCACTATGCCCGTAAACACCTCGACATCTCAAGAGAGGTCAGAATGGAGATTTGCGTTTACACGAGGAACATTTATAATATGACAACATACACTCACCAAGAATTTTATCCGGAGCATTATATCAGTACTGAGTAGAGCCTCCCTTTGCTCTCAGAACAGGCTCAGTTCTTTGTGGCATGGAGTCCACAAGATGTTGGAAACATTCCTTTGAGATTCTAGTTCATGTTGACATGATTGCATCATGCAAAGTGTTCTGTTGGATTCCGATCTGGTGACTGGAAAGGTCGCTGAAGAACACTGAACTCATTGTCATGCTCATTAAACCACTTTGAGCTATTTTTGCTTTGCGACATGGTGCATTATCATGCTGGTAGCAGCCATTAGATAATGGTAAATTGTGGAAGTAAAAAGGGAAGCAGATAATCAGCAGCAACACTCAAACAGGCTGTGGCATTCAAGCAATAATTGGAAGGTATTAATTGATTGGCATTAATTCCCCCAAATTGTGCCAAGAAAATTCCCCATGCCATTACACCACCTCCACCAGCCTGGACTGTTAACACAAGGCAGGTTGAATCCATGGACTTATGCTGTTTGAGTGAGTTTCTGACGGATTCGATAATTACATGAATGAGTGGGTGCAAAGGTGTTCCTAATAAAGTGCTCAGTGAGTGTATTTAAACTCATTTTGTACAGACATAGACACTCAAAACACTTTAGCTGTTTACTATAGCATCCTTAATTAGCCTATGTATTAGTATTTATTGGCAGTTTATGCGCATTAGCATTACCCTTCACTGGAACTAAGGAGCCAAAACCCTGAAAAGCAGCCTGAGCCCATTATCCCTCCTCCACCAAACTTTACTGTTGACTCTATCTTGGCATTGTGCACAGTTGTCATTGGCTTGTGTGCAGCTGCTCAGCCATGAAACCCACTTCATGAAACTCCCGACACACAGTTTCTTGTAAAAGAAAGCAAATTGGCCTCAAGCCAATATGGAAGGCTGCTAGCTGGCATAACAGTACTAGCAGTTAGCATTCACCTCAGAGCTTGCGCTGTCTAATGACGTTTGAAAAATTAGCACATACTAGCCTTCACCCTTTCTCGGGAGCATCTTGTGATGTGGGACCTAGTTAGCGGGTGAAATTAGACGTGACTAAATCGGGGAGAAGATGGGTTAAAAAAAGGAAAGTTTGTCTGTAGAATTAAGTATATTGTGAGAAAGTATGATGTAAGTAGCTAATGACAATTTTTTAAAAATTACCTCTCTCCCTCTCTTTTTCTTTCCCTCTTTCTTGCTGTCTCAGATCGGGGACAGGAATGGAGAGCTGACGGCCAGGATGAACGTGGAGCAGCTGATGGAGGCTCTTGGGGTGAAAGAGGGGGATCTTTCTCCTTGCGGTTCAGAGTTTGAGATGCAAGGTAAGTGTTATCACAGTTTTTGCTACAGCAATAACAGTTTTGCAGAGCATGAACCTCTAACCAATCACAGTGTTTTTTCTGGGTGCTGTAAGCATCCTGACCAATCACAGCTCCAGATGAGTCTCCTTCATGGTGTTCATGTAATCCAACAAAATAAATTTATTTTTGGTGAAAATAATATTTTCTTAACCATGACACATTAAGGGATGGGCATTTCAGTTAATTTGATATTTGGATTTGTAAACTGATATTCATTATTTGACAAATAATTACATAATTAACAAATCTTTCCTGAGTTAACGTGGAAGAGTTACAGCTGGAAAATGATGCAGGTTAGGGGGAACGCCAGGACCAAAACTGGGAACCTGTGGCGTATTATATGAAATCTTGACCCCAAATCTATAGTAGATGACATATGACGTGAAATTCATACCAAGAAAGGTTTCAATCTAAAATCTAAAGAAAAATCTAAAAACAGACAGTGAGTACATTTACATGCACTCAATAACCCGATCATAGTCGGATTTCTGCAGTTATCTGATTATTCAGTGGTCATTCAAACGGCACACTCTGATTTCTTAGATCAGAGTAATGTCTAGAAATCCAATTAAGAAATCTGATAAAGAGAGCTAATCAGATTCCTCAGTGCATGTAAACTCTTACTCTGATTTCTTTCGGATTTCTGAGTCTGCACATGTGCGAAAACAGTTTTGCGGTACCGGAAACAAGCAAGCAGCGTTGCCGCGATACGCTGAAACCAACTACATGCTTGAGGAAATGAAGGATTTAAATATTCTTAATCTTCTAGATGATGTATGTTCATATTTTCAGGTAAAGTGGCGCGATAAAGCTGCGGAATAGAGTTTAAGGTTTACATTACGTTTACATCACGTCTTCTTCTGTGAGTTTATTTGCTGGTTGCAAAGCAGAAATTTGATGACTGTCTGACTCATGTAGACCCAGAGTTTCCCCATTATCTGATTACTTAAGCGTACGTAAACGTGTTGATCAGATTACTGATAAAATCTAAATTCTCTGCAGTTATCAGATATTAAGTACATGTAAACCCACTCAGTGTCTGTATTTTTGTCTGCCATTTGTTTTCATCTCAGCTAACATTGCTAGCCTAGCCACATCATACCTCACCATGGAATACGTCGCTTTTGTGAAGAGTTAGTTAGCTGATAGCATACATGATATTCAGTAAATTATATTGAACGTTTATTTCTTTAAATCTAAATGAGTAGAGTGTGAAGTGAGCTTAAATGTTTTCTTGAACGATCAGTGATTTACTGCGGCACATTCTATGTGCTATAGCTGCGCTTCGTACTTCCTGTTGTGGAGCTTCTCTGGTTTGCGGAAAACTTTAGCCGACTGCAGTGCTTTTTCAGTGCTTCCTTCTTTGGACTTAACACATAAGAAATGCAGGCTCTGCACTGCCCTCTGGTGGAGAATAGAGTTCAGACAGTTCGAGGTTCTGAGCTGAAGAGAGAAGCTAGTTTGCATATCAGAAATCTTAATTTATATTGCAGTCGCAGTATGTAGCAGTAAAATCGCAACACAGACATCTTCATGCAGCCCTAGCACTGCTTAACGGACACTTTGTGTCCACTCCAGCCTCCCCACCCATTTTCACAACTCTCCCACTCTCGCCTCATAGCTAAACACACATACACAAACACCTTCACACCCCAGCTTGTGCTATATTGGAGAAAGAGTGGTCATCAGTGATGAATTGTGCTCCAGTTGGTAGAGATGTAGTGGGCAGCTCCACAGCCTGGCAGCGGCCACTCCGGCACAAACCGCCGTAGCAGCTCAGCTCTAAACGGAGCACATTCACCACTGCTGCAATTATCAGTACACCAGGGACGTCTCACTCATGTAGCGCTCGAGTGTTCCACAACAGCACGGGGTCGAGCCTGTTTAATAGAGGTAAAGTCAAATACGCTCATTATGGATAATAACCGTTAATAACTGTAGCTGTGGAATTTAACTGACAGTGGCACTTCGGCACGTTTTATTTTGCTTTGTGCTTTGACCAGTAATTGTTAATTAGTGTCTGATGTTGTAGACGAGTATATATATTATACAGGTATTGGTTAAAGGGGAATTTCACCATTTTTGATAGGGACCAAGAGTTTACGATGTCTATAATACAAATACAGCCATTTTATTTAGTCAGATGGTAAAATACAGGGTGTCCCAAAAAAATTGACATCATTTCAGATGTGAATATCTGAGTAACTACATGTCCTGGGCAAACGAAATTTAATAGGCTTCATGTTGAACAATACAAGATTTATTTTTCAAAATTCGAACAAGAAATTCAGAGGGATGTAGATTTTATAACTGATTTCACAAAGCTTCACAAATGGAATATCTTCCGATACCGGTGGTCGTCCAGATCCCTTTGCCCGGCACAGACAGCCTTCCTCTTTGAATTTTTGTGCTGTGTCCAAATCTGCTTTCCAGTTGGTGCATTTTTATTGAAAATGCCTCTGCACACTCTTGTTTGACTGTGTTCGAGCATATTCTAACACAGAAAATGCCTTTTCGTTTCTAGTGAATGCCATTCTTCAACCTGAACAAAACCATTAAAAATTAAACTTGGCTTGTTTTTACACATTTTGTTAAAATTTGAGATCATTTGAGGGAGAATTGGCTACGTTATTAGAACACGAAATGATGTCAATTTTTTTGAGACACCCTGTATTTAACAGATATTTTGGAATTGTTACCTTGTTGGAGTGATAGTTTAGTGGGGATGCACTGATCTTCAGTTTTTATGGCTGATTATGATTTTCACAGCCAAATTTGGAGGGTAGCAGATTATTTATTTATTTATATTTATTTATTACCCATTTTTTTAAATACCTAAAGCTCACAATATGTGGGATACATGATCACATAAATCACACTAGCACATTTACAGTGCTCTCTTTTAGCCAGGGAACACAATATAATTAACATTATTTAGTCTTTAATGGGGCAAACTGACATTTTACCAAAATAATAAATAAACAAACAAACAAACGAACAAACAAATAAATAGTAATAAATAAATAAGTTGCCTATTTAGATAACATGAATCAAATAAAGAGCTCCATTGAAAGTAAGAGGTGACTGGCTATTCAGCACAATGAGTCGTGTATAATTATGCTGTGATATTTTGATTCAGGTGTCGCAGCAGCATCCAAATACAGTGTGAGTGCTCTTACTTACCTCACCTTATTTACCCCATAATATACACACAGGTCAGCAACAGTCAAAATAACTGACTGCTGATTGGAACAAATTCTGATGATGCATCCCTGTTTATATGATCAGTGGTTCTGTTCTGTGCTGTTATTAAATATTAAAAGTATCATGTTAGAAACAAATCACATACATTGGGCCTCATTCACCAATATCCTCCTAAGTTTGTTCTTAAACATGTTCTTGAGGAAGGTCCTGAGAAAAAACCTACATCAGATTCATGACGTGTTCTTAAACCGCAGAACTGTTCTCACCTTTGTGCTCTTGAGTGAGTGTAGATTCTGTTCTTGTATAAGAACAAATCCCAAATAGAAAACATTGGTGAATGTCAGAATCTACGTGAAAACTGCGTAAGTGGGTTTTAAGAAGAAATTTCTTCTTAAGAACAGTTGGTGAATAAGGTACATTGCTTGCAGTTGTGAAAATCTCTGACCTGACAGCAATTTAATTATGAAAATATGATTTTTTAGAAAGCAATTCATCATTAAATCTCAAATTGCACCAGGAATTCTGTTCCTCTGGAATGAGTGCAGACTTTATTGAATATTATTATTGGGCCGTATGATATTGACATAAAGTGTGATGTTTGATATAGCTGTCAGATACCATGATAACAATACAAGGAGCAATAAATTATTAAAATAGGGCTCTGACTGGATGTGAGACTTGGATGTGTAAACAGAAATCTAAGTGGCAAAATAAAAAGAAATGAAATACAAACAGCTGCTTACATCAGAACTGAGAGCACATTTTTTTGTGCACAGAAAGGCTGAGAAACAGTCAGCATTACCTCAAAAGCTTTTTCTGTAAAAGCCACAAAAACAAATAAATATGTAAGTATTTTTATATATACACTTAAAAAAGATGCTTTTTTAGTTAAGAAAATGCTTCTATATAGAACGATGAACACTCAGTGAACACTTTGCATGATTAAAGGGATCTTTGCATCCCTAAAGAGCTCTTCAGATTAATGGAGAGTGTGTTTTATATAGTTCTGTATAGAACCTTTTTGAAAAGGGTTCTATATAGCACCAAAAAGGATTCTTCTATTGTTTACAGACTTGACATTATAACAATAGAAGAACCCTTTTTGGTACTCCATAGAACCATTTTCAAAAAGGTTTTATATACAACCACCTACAGCACATTCTCCATCATTCTGAAGAACCTGGTTCTTTGAGTGTTCATGGTTCTATATAGAACCTATCTTTACTTAACACTTAAAGAACCATCATTTTTAAGAGTGTAGACACGCAAGACTGAATGTTTTTGTTCATTTATTTAGTTATTATTGTTTAGTTATTAAATATGTTTGTTGTGACAGTAGAAATTCCTGCCTCACACACTTAAAACACAGTACTGGCTGTGAGCACAATCATAATGTTTGATATGTTTTTACAAGCATGTAATTTCAGGATGAAGGAGTGTTTGAGTGTTTTGTAATTGGCTGTTCAGCCTAATGGTTAAGTTACTCATCTCACCCATGACATCCCAGTGCAGAGATAGAATGATATCAGCTGCATTTATGAGATCATTTGATCTGTTCTGTCAACTAAACCCTAACGATGTGTTTATTGTGGCACCTTATATCAAGATAACTCATATAGGCCGGTATGATAAATATGATTCTATCGTACAGCCCTATTAGTTATAATCAGCTATAACATTCCCAAACCAAAGCAGCTGAATCACCACCTTCAGATGGATGCATTCATGCATTTTACACTCCCAGTGTTTTGTTACTGTTGATGATTCTATTTTCCAATGCAAGAAAGAAGCAGCGAGTTCATCCCTGCTTTCTAGGCCTCTTTTTAATCAGACCTCCAGTGAGAAAAGCAGATTCCTTTCCACTGCTAATATTCCTCCCTTCAGTCATAACTGACCGTCCCAGCATGCTTGGCTGAAGTGCTTGGGTTTGTTTGAGACCAGCCTAGCCTACGTTGCTCCTGCCCCAAGAAAAGGGCAGTTTTGTGCTGGAGGTGGTTCAGTTCAGGTCAGTCCAAGCTGGCCGTCCTGCTGGACGGGGAAACGGTGAGTCAGGGCGAGGAAGGAACAGCCCTGGAGACAGACAGAGAGAACATGTCTGAAAGGCTGTTTATTTGGAACAACGAGGGTGTGTGAGGAAGCAGGGCTCCTGCGTTTCTGGCATGTTCTCTCTCAGACTGTGAACGGAAGCTTTGGAAGGACAGAATTTAAAGCAATAGTTCAGTACTGGCGCTACAAGGCTGATGGAGCAAGTAATGGAGGCTTATACCCCACCAGTTGAAACTGTGCAAGCCGTGTTGTATCATTAAAGACCCCCTGTTAGACCCCCTCGTTAAGGAACTCCTCTTAGGTAATTATTATATAAACTGATATTTGTAACAAACATATTACCATATCACAAAACACAGGCTTTCTGTGTACATTTGGAAAAACGTGACTACACATTTAAAAAAGATGGTTCTTCAAGGGTTCTTTAGTAAAGAAAATGGTTCTATATAGAACCACAAACACTCAAAGAACCCTTTGCATGATTAAAGGCTTCTTTGCATTGTGAAAGGGTTCTTCAGATTGATGGAGAATGTGCTGTAAATGGTTCTATATAGAACCTTTTTTAAAAATTGTTCTATTTAGCACCAAAAGGGTTTTCTTTTGTAACAGTAGAAGAACCCTTATTGGCGTTTTGTCTAATCTGTCTTTTTGCTATCTCAGCTTTGCATTCTTAAAGAGTTTAGGTTTAGGGACTCTCCTGTGCTGCTTTCAGTAGTTTCTTCGGCATAACAATAATGCATAAAAATGAATAATTTATTAATAAACAGACATTTTTGTGTTTTAAATGTAGTGATCATAATTTCAAACACACATTATCAGTTTGAAGTGGCACAAATCCGATGTTTTGCCCTAATGTGATCTGATGTTTTCAGAGCTGTGTGGACACAAATCTAATCTTTTCAAATCCAACCTGAGGCACTTTCATATCTGTTTCTAGATCGGATACCTATCCGATTCGTGACCATGTGACCTTAAAGTGACTCTCAGATCGGAATTCATGCATTTTTTTTCACTGCGCGTGCGCCATCATTCAGCATTACCATGGCAACAGCGCCAAACAGAAGTTAAAGCCTGTAAACGGCTAATAATGAAGCTGAGAGCTGATCAGAGTTAATTATCTTCTCAGCGAAGCTCGTTCTGCTCGTTAGTTTGTGCTGATGATGCACGCGATTCATTCACGTGACGTTACTCAGTAGGATGTGCGCATGTGGGTCATTTCAGGATGCTGGTTCATTCACATTAATGACAGATTTGATTCACTTACCTAAACGAGTGTGAACGATCGTGTCGGAGAGATCGGATTTGAGCAAAAAATCGGATTTGAGCAACGTGGCTTGTAATGTGAACATGGCCTTAGACTTGCTTAAGTAGTTTCTGACACTGTATGACAGATCATTATCTGCAAATCTGGACTGAAGTACATCACATGCCTACTAGAAAACCCAGCATAGACCAGCAGGGCTGGTCACCAGCATATCACTGCCGTTGGAAGAAAACCTTGTATCTCCATTTTTGTCGTTTTTCAGTTTTTGACATAATTCGAAAATTCCCGTTGCTCTTTACATTATGTGTAATTTCATGAAGAATGGACCAAAAGAAACAGCTCAAAATTTTGGTTCCATTGACTTACATTAAAAGTAAAGTATGTTTTTTCCTTCCCCTGTAAAGTTACCATTTTGGAGATACAAGGTTTTCTTCCGACAACAGCAATTTGTTGTTTTGGATGCTGGTGTGCTGGTCAAATGCTAGCCTGTGCTGTTTCTTTGTGGCAGGGACAGAAGATCGCTGATGTGATCAAGTGTGTGACTGATGTATCAGTTGGCTGCTATTAGGGGTGGCGCGGCACAGCCAGGATTCAAACGTGTAATCTCCCAATGATGAAGCAGTACTGTTGTATCAATAACCAGAACTAAAATTAATGGAGGAATAAAATGTAAACATTTTTAAATCTGAAATATAAATATAAAATTATATTGGTCAATGTTATTGTTTTTCTGAATTGTATGTCTGAATTGCATATATATATATATAAATATATATATATATATATATATATATATATATATATATATGTGTGTGTGTGTGTGTATCACTCTTAAAGTGAATTGATTATAAAAGGTTCAGTCTTAACTTAAAGCCATGTCCCATCCTTCATTCAGTATCAGAACCCACATAATCAAGTCTATTAGAGATTACTGAACATCTCCATGTAGTTTGAGGTGAGTGCATGATGATTTAGGCTTACAGTAGCACCATGCTATTCACTGTTTGTATTAGCTTGCATTACTTGCCAGCTACATTAGCTAACTAAAGAAGCAAACTTCAGACACCAAACGTGTCTCGGCTGATCAACTACATTTAAGACAGGGGGGAAACTGTAATTTTTGGTCTTAACCTGACAGTATCTCATCTCTGAGCTGCAAACGTGGTCCAGAATTTCATTCTGAAAGTTCAAATTAATCTTTTTTTTCCTTTTTTTGGAGGTGACTGGGTGCAGAGTGGCTGTGCGAGTCGTGTCTGAATCCTTTAAAAGCTTTCATGGTTAGACAGTTTAGATTCTAATGCCTGACCGCTTTAGAAGACTGAGCTTTTTCTTGAGGTCAGCAAGTCATTCTTGAGCGCGGACGGGTGTAAAAGGCTTTTATAGTTTTTAAAAGCAGTTCATTTGAAACATTTGAGATAGACAGAATGTACTTTATATGATTTTACATTAGCAGACATGCATGGTCACATATTGACACATTTAGAGACATGTTGATGTTCATGCTGTTTGATTTAAGAGTATAAATGTAAAGTAGAAGCTTCGACACAGTATACATTCACATATACACTCATCTACTTTATTAGAAACACCTACCTTGTACTTCCACTTACTGTCCACTTTATTGGAAACACTCACCTTCTACTTCCACTCACTGGCCACTATATTGGAAACACCCAACCTTCTACTTCCACCCACTGGCCACTATATTGGAAACACTCATCTTCTACTTCCACTCACTTGCCACTTTGTTAGAAACACCTACTCTGTACTTCCACTCACTGGCCACTTTATTGGAAACCCCTACTTTACACCATTCCGCAATTTTGCTGGATTTGTTCTGTAAAAAAGCAAAAGAATCCAAAAAGAGAGGAATAAAGCCTAGTAAACTAAACTTACTATGCTGATAAGGTGCTGGATGGACTAAAAAGTTCCGGTGTAGTTATAAATGACTCAGTACTGGATTTATTTATGACCTGAGACTTTATTACTTGTGTTTTTACTTCTACTTGCGTTATTTCTTTAAGTTAGGCCTGTATTGTTTTTTGTCGCACTGTTTTTAGGGGTAGCGGTTTGGCCACTTGTTACACAGCCTGGATGAACAAACTGATTTAAAAAGAATGACAGAATGTTTTGTGTCCCACTTTCAGGAGCCAGGCCAAAGTTCACCAAAAGGAACAGCATGGACAGTGTTGACCTTTGGAAGTACAGTTCTGAAAAGGTAATGTTTTTAAAAAAGGCTATTTCGGGTAGACAGATATGTCTTACACTACAGCCAGGTGTACAAAGAAGACTGTAAATGATCAACTGTTGAATTTGGGAGTTCTTTTGGAAATGATTCAGTGGGTAAAGAAATCTCAAGCTTACATAGATAGATAGTTCACATAGATAACATTTACACAGTAGTGAAATATAGACAATACAACAATACTTGAAGCATTTTTCTGATTTTTATTTTCAAAAATTCACCAGAGAATTTTATTTTTGCAAAAACTTAAGAGCATCACCACCTTTAAATGACAAAGCTAAAACTAATAAGAGATTTGAATTCATTATTGTTTGTGATGTCACCAAGACCAAAACATTTACATATTCTCCTGTTCAGCATACAGCAGTTTAGCCCACCCACTCACATTGATGTTATAAGGAAAGTTTCAGCCCAGACAGCAGTGCAATACAGGGCAGCCAATCCGAGCAGAGCCTATTTACATATATCAGTCTTAAAGGCTTGAAAATGGACATTGAGACAGTTTCTCAGACTATTATTATGATTTAAGAGTATACTGTAAATGTAAAGTAGAAGCTTCAACACAGTATACATTCACCATCTACTTTATTAGACACACCTACCTTGTACTTCCACTCACTGGCCACTATATTGGAAACACCCAAATCATTTACATATATCAGTCTTAAAGGCTCGAAAATGGACATTGAGACAGTTTCTCGGACTAATATTGGGCCTAAGCCTTGACTATAATGGATTTTCAGCAGTGAATCACATAGTATATTCATTTAGTCCAAGACTAGACAGTTTTCCATGTATGTGAAACGAGATGTCCTATGTTCACCTGTGAACCCTAACTGAGCTCCTTTTATTCTAATGCAGAATGGAGATGGACAGGATATGGACGGCATGTCCAGAAGGTCTAAAAGTCAGATGTCTCAGTCCAGCCGGAGGAAGGGCTATTCAGACAGCCAGTCGTCAGACGACAGACAGTGGCTGGACTCGCCTGTGGACATGGATGACATCACTGTGCAAGTGCCACCTCCGGTAAGCACTATAAAGCTTTGCTCACAAAGCAGGCAAATCACTGATTTATTTCTTAAACTCAGAGCTCACTACATTCACTGAGTTCCATGTACTTAAGTAACATTTTGATGGATTTATACTTTTCTGAGTGTTTATTTTACTTCTGTTGTATTAATGAGGAACATCTTCTATTTCCTTATGTTTAAGTTACTTTAAAGTCATTTTCATTTGCTTCCTAGTTATTTTTGTCCCATCGCCTTGAAAAATGGGGAGGACTTTCAGGCACAGCTTAAGAACGTCTTACATCATGTTTGACAAACAGGCAGCTTTTTCTTGCCTTGGATAATCGTTCATCTAAAAATGTTAGTTTTTCCTTTGGTGTTCCGCAAGGTTCCGTATCAGGGCTGCTGCTTTTCTCACTGTAAGTGAGAAATTTCTTGGATGGTTTGCAGATTTCCATTTTATAGACAGATAGACCCCCTTCCCGTTATTTGTCTTTGTCCTTCTAGTCTAATCTAGGGTTCCAGATCCTTTCAAATATATCCGTTTTGCCCTTTTAAGTACACCTTAACCTTTGCAAATACAAAACATTTGCCATTTTTTTTTAGTTTTCTGCAACCACCATGTCAAGTTTAATAACCTGTGTTTTTTTTATGTATCAGCCACAGATAGCTCTAAGTGGGTCTGGTATATTTGATCAGTTTAAGCGAATGTGAATGCGATTTGATAGATTTTGCAGCAAGGAGCTTTTGACATTGCAACCTAACAGGATTTGCTGCTAAAATTTGATGTTTTCCCAGGAAAAACCAGCACAGATCTCAGCATGTGCTGAGTAAATGAAATCTATCCTTCACCATTATTCACAAAACACCATTACTTACTACCACATTACTTTCACACAGACACAAAGGCTGCTGATGACTGTAACAGGCTTAAAGGCAGGGCATTAAAACACTCTCTTTTTGCTGATGGGGGTAATATATGCTGAAGGGCTTTGTCTCTCTTAAGCCTTTAATTGAATCTTACAGCTTCTTCCAAGTATAAAAGTGTTCCACTGAAAGGCATTACCTGAGTGTGAGTACTAATCGTGCGGCCAGAGAGTGCGATCAATATCCAGGGAGGCTGGAGGATGTGATGCTGCTGGCTAATGGAGCTGAAAGGATCATGTAGGATTGAGAAGCGATATCCCCCTTTGGCCAAGCTTTGTTTGAAGTTTATTGTCATCTGCACTGCAAGGTACCACACACAATAAAAATCATTGTAGGGTGATAATAATATAGACGAAAATAGAATAAGGTAAAATAAAACAAACAGAAAAATATAGTATGATAAAACACATATAATGCAATAAACACTTTAAAAGCTCAATAAATATTAGACACTGCAAATACAGCCATATCGCTGCTGTATGTCCATTTTTATCAATTTTAAGTTTTTGACATAATTTGAAAATGCCTGTTGTTCTTTACATTGTGGGTAAATTTCATGATGAATGGGCCAAAGGAAATGGCCCAAAATTGCTTGGAAAAATGTCTGGTTCCATTGACTTACATTAAACGTAAAGTATGTTTTTTCCTTCTTCTGTAAAGTTACCATTTTGAAAATAAGACGTTTTGTTCTGACAGCAGCAACATGTATGTATAAATGTGCAGATGTATGCGTCTAATGAATGGACCTCTAATATACATTGGTGGTCAATAATTTGGCTAGAATGTAATGTGAAATCTGGATTCACTCTTCACTGGCATTAACCCCTAGAATTCAAACGCCTGCTTTAATGAATTACTTCTCAATTGTAACTTTTGCACAGGCCACATTTATGTTTTATTTTTCCCCCAACTTAATAAATAATAAATAATAAATATGTGTTCACTTATTTTCACTTAGAAAATCAGCACAACATGGAATTTGACCAGGGGTGCACAAACTTTTGCATATGACTGTAAATGACATACAGTCTGTGGTTATAACGTGCAGCCACTGCTGCTCTCGCTGGATATCGATCATGAAAATTGGAAGCTGTGTTGTGTGATTTTCACATTTCTGCATTCAAAACAATGTTATGAATTTAGTAAAATACTAAATACATTCTGATGAAGCATATTTTGTCCAATCCTATGAATGTAACAAAATGCATTGCTTTTTAAATGGGAAAAAAACATTAGGATCAAATTTGTGCAAATAAGACAAATGTAATTAGTCACAATTAACTGCACACAAGTAATACAATAAACTGCAGAGAAAGAAGAGTGAACCAACAGAAATGCTCTTCACATTAACCCTTGTGTGATGTTGATGTGTGTGTTACTCAGTGGTCTGGTGGACCCACCGCATTATTGGTTTTTAAATCAATACAGCCATAACAATTTATGTGAAAATACCAGATGTTTAAAATATCACAAGTGTCCAGCGTAGGGTTCTCCTTTAGCAGCTGTAGCCAGTCAGCAGCCTGTCCATGTTGTCCACCCTCACACACACAAACACACACATATACAAACACATGCACACACAGACACACACACACTAACAGGCCATGTAGGAAGAAAACAGAGTGAAGGACACAGCACCTCCACACTTTATTTCCCGCAGGTTCACCCAACACCACATGTGTAATATGAAGGTGTGGGGGGTGAACAGTTTGAAGACACTGAAAATGTGTTATTTTATATGTTCTTCACAGAAAATGAACAAAGGACAAGGAATCTGAGGTTGAAATAATAATAAACCGCATAATTCTTTCTTTTGGTAAACATTAAAAATGGGTCCCAGAGACCCCAACACCACACAAGGGTTCATGAGGTCCATTCAGTGTTACATTTCTCCTCCTCGTTTTGGAGATATTACGTTTTGTCACGCCACTGATGGATTACATTTGCTAAGTGTAGCAAGGTGACTTCTGAGAGTCGCGGCAACCTCCTCATGCTCTCCTTGTTGCTGTACGCTGTGTGCCGGACACTAATAATAATGATGAGAATGTAAAAATATCAGTTCTCATTTTCTTCATGGTTCTTCACCTGAATCTCCCTGAAGGTTCCACTGGCCTCGTTCTGGTGATGAAGGTGTGAGCTGATGATATAGTCTATAGAGGAGGTTATTTTTAGAGCGTCTGAGAGAACAGAGCAGCAGAAGGCCCTTTAATTTGTGACCTTTGACCTGACACACGCACACACACACACACGCACACACACACACACACACACACACACACACACACACACACACACACACACACACTCTGTGACTGCTCCTCGGGGTGAAACACAGTGTGTGTGTATGCGCAGACCGAACGACCGTAAGATTGGGGTCGAGGTTTCTATAGCAACTGTGATGTAATGCAGACAAGCACCGCCCATTCCCTCTCTCTCTCTGTCTCTCTTTCTATCTCTCTATCTCACTCACCCAGCATGTAATTGAATAATTAAGCCCAATGCATTGGCAGTTTGAGAGCAAAGCACAGTGAGTGCAGTAAGAGAGAGAGAGAGAGACAGAGAGAGACACAGAGAGAGAGAGAGAGAGAGAGAGAGAGAGAGAGAGACATAGGGACATAGGCAAAGTGAGAAGAGAAAAGGAGAAAGAGAGCAGAGAGAGAGAGAGAGAGACAAAGAGAAAGGAGAGGGAGAGAAAGAGAGCAAGAGAGAAAGCTATAGAGAGATATGGAGAGATGAGAGAAAGAGGGAGAGAGAGAAAGATAAGAAACAAAGAGACGGTGGAAGAAAGAAGTGAGAAAGAGAAAGTGGAGAGAGAGCAAAAGAGAAAGGGAGAGAGAGGAGAGAGAAAGAGACAGAGAAAGAGAGAGACAAATATAGACAGAGAGAAAGAGAGAGAGAATGCAGGAGAGAGAGTCCTAGACTATATATAGCAAAGGGCAAATACACTTTTCAATGAGAAGAAGAATCCCATTAACACAACACTGGCGCAGACAGATTATTTGGCCGCTGTGGTGAGTAATGAACATTTAAAGGGAAAAGTTTGTGTCTTAAGTGGTTTGCAGTTGCTTCTGGGCAAACTTTGCAGCTTTCGTCATTTTATTTATCCTGAATTATACGCGATGCATGCAGCGTTGCTTTATGCAGGGGAGGTGAATGGTGACGGATGGTGATTAGTGATGGAACCCTGAACCCTTCCCCCCCTCTCTCTCTCTCTCTCTCTCTCTCTCTCTATATCTCTCTCTCTCTCTCTCTCTCACTCACTCCCTCTCTCTCTGTCACAATGTGACCTTGATCAGAGACCCCCCTCTCTGTAATGAGTTGTTTTCCCACAGTGGCACAAAGATGGCCTGCAGGAGAGAGAGATAGACAGACAGGGATATATAGAGAGAGAGAGAACAGAAGAGTGAAGGGCAGAAGGAGAGGTGGTTTGGTCAGTAGCTTCACTGGTCGTCGGCGATCACCTGAATACGAGCAGACTAAGTATTGCTTATTGTTATTATTACTATTGTTATTATTATTTATTCATGCTGCTGTTTAAATTAACCTCTACTACTAATTAATAAGACTTTAATTACCACTAGAATTTGGTAACTGTTATTAGTTATTTTGTAACTACTGCAAAATTAATATGCTATCGTTGTCGCTGTTGTTGTTTTCCATTATTTTACATAATTTTAAAATGTGAGCTGCCAAAATTACCTGAAATAAGACCTCATTATATTAACATATATTAACAGATATGGAATATGTAACGTTTGTCTACATGGTTTTATCACAGCGATGATATGAGAGCGAGGAATTGAAGTGTGGACCCTCAAATGGACGCTTAGAGTTTAAGTGTTTAACCAAAGCTGCTGTTTCTTGGAGTTTGCTTTGTTATGAAGTGATTTGACTGTGTATGTCTGATTGCACTGAATCAGTGGGATAAACTTTCTCTCACAGTTAAAAATGATGGATCTTCAAGGGTTCTTTGCACGATTAAATGGTTCTTTGAATGGTAAAAGCGTTCTTTAGATTGATGGAGAATGTGCTGTAGATGGTTCTATATAGAACCTTTTTGAAAAGTGTTCTATATATCGCACAGAAAAGGGTTTCACAATTGTTACAAGCCCAAGAACCCTTTTTTTGTACTATGTAGAACCCTTTTTGCTAAGGGTGTAGTTGTCAGTAGCCTCGTGCAGAAGTGTTCTCGAGAGCTCCAGAAGCAAGAGGTCACTGGATTTAACAACATCACTCATCAGAAGTTGACCATCCTTACGTTTTGAGGTGCTTTGAGGTGGCGATTCAGCTTCAGAACAAAATCAAATCATAGTGACGTTTGAGTTTTCATGATGAATTGAATCATTTGCTAAAGCATCATAACAAAACTGAATCATCAAGCTTAAAGAGGAGTCGATCACAATCGATCGTAATAGTCTTCAATGAAATATGTGCTTTGTATCTATATTTGTCTGTATTCCACTCCCATGTAAATATTTACTGCTGTCATGTTTGTTTATTCAGTGCATTTCCTGAAATAATTCTGAATCTTAGCAAAATAATCGAATCAAATCGATTCACCTACTTTATACACCATTTTACAATATAGGTTTTTGTAGGCTTAAAATAACACACTGTAGCCCCTCTTTTGCTGCATGAGCCCCAACCCCCCAAACCTCTTTCTTTACCTTTTATTTTGTTTTAGAATTTATTATAATCAGTTACATTTGAATCAGTTGTAGTAGTAGGTGTGTATTGTAAAAGCTGTTATTGTGTATTCCTGTACTGGGTACCATATGCATATTTAGTGAATTTCTATAATTAATACTGAATCAAGCTCAAATCAAATCATTTTAAATTGAATCTTGTTGAAATTTGCTCTGAATCGTTTCCAGAAGCATCCTAACAACACTGAATTATAATCAATCATAATTATCTTACTTATTTTAATAAGTATGCACTTTGTTTCTATATTCGTCTAAATTCCACTTCTGTGTAAATAGTTGTTGCTGCCACATTTGTGTGTTCGGCGCATTTAAAAAAAAAAAAAATAATCGTACAAAAAGAGTCAAATTGAGCTGAATCGATTCACCTACTTTATCCCACTGCACTCAGGGCCATTTTAGCAGAAACACCCACCATGTACTTTGTAGGTGTTCAGTAATAGACTGTAGTTTGTCTGTTGCTGCACTGTTCCTTAGTCCATCTCTTCCTCTCTATGACGGAATTTATTATAGTCAAATATGATAATATTACGTTAAATATGTTGTTTTTTTTGGCAGAAATGAAATTATAGATCCTATAGATATTGTTTATTCCTGCACTGGGTCACATATGTGCACAATCAGTGTATTTGTATAATTAGTACTGAATCATGTTCAGATATCAAAGTGATGAATCCCGTTGAGATTTGAGATTTTATGATGCAGTGAATCGTTTCCTAAGGAATCGTAATTGAATCAGGATTTATGCCCCTGTGCTTATCAATGCACAGATAACGTTGAGCTCCATCAGCCTCACTGTAGGGCAGATTGTCCACAGGCTAATTCTGCAGCAACAACCTGTATTGATTTTTTGGTCACTTGGATGAGGCTTTGATGTCCTCTATTTCCTATCAGCCCACCCTCCGGCTCTCTGATTGAAAAGGTTGTGCCGCTCACACGGGTGAAGTGTGAGCGCCGGCAATCAATGTTGCATCACACCGCCACCCCACAGAGAGAGGCGCCGCTTTCAGCTGTGCTTTTGAAGAAAGATTTGCTCTACATAACGTAATTAAGCTATTTTTTCTGCAGATTTTAGTGCACAGTTTCTTTTTATTTGCAGAGTTTAACATATTGGAAAAATAAAATATATAATATGAAATGTGACAAGACTTTTGCATAGGCCACATTTAATGTTTCATTTTTTTCCCAGTAAGTTAAATTCAGTAAATAAACAGTAATTGTGCATTAAAATGTGCAGAAGAAAATGAACCTCCCACACTTTTGCATACAGCTGTATCATGTATTATATAATTACATGTAAATAAATTATGCAGTTTAAACTGAACTTAATGGAAAACAGCAGTAACAGCTCGAGTCCTAAGGGTTCGTATTCTTATTGATCGAATAATTAATCATTATGGATTACGGATAAATACAGCTCTGCTATGCTGGTGTGCTGTGTGGTGGCTGAGCTGCTTGTGCAGACTGATGAAAACAGAAGAGACGGCAGCCTCAGCTTGTGTGTCGGTGTATTTTTGCATGTAAATGAACAGCTGACCACTCAAAGGTCACAGTGATAAACTCAGGGTTAAGATGCTGAATGCAAGGACTTTAAAGTGATAGTTTGGCCAAAAATCAAATTCCCCCAGTCCGCCCCCATCTTACTCCAAATGTAGTCAATCAACCAAAACATGCTTGGTTTGTTTCTTTATCATTGCATTGGAGTCTCAAGGCTAATGTAGCTAACACGTCATAGAAAAATACTCCAGTCACTGGTGCACCAGCCTCTATTACTTGTTAACTGTCAACTGAGGCCTAAACCACATTGATAAGCCTGTGTGCCCTTAAGGAAGACCTGGATGTGCTTTAAGTGGGTTGAGTGAAGCTTCAGAAGATGTATTTACAGGAAAGATTTCGGTGACTATTGACTTCTAGTGTTTATTAGCAACAGCAGTCTTTTGGCTCCAGCGCTTGACTAAAGAGTAAACTTTTGAAGCCTTGCATGTCTTGGCTGATCACTGCATTTGGGGTGAGGGGGTACAGTTTGATGGACACAGAGACCTCAGTAGACTTTTGAAGCAGCTATTTTTACACCTGCAATTAATACTTCTAGGTCGGGATCACAGTGTCACACTACAAATGGAAAGCCATAATTAGCTTTAGTTATGAATTTAACCCTTTAAAGCAACAACTGACCATACATAGCTTGGCACTAATAGCGAACACAACCTGATCTACAAACTGCCAGTATAATGTAGAAAATATCAAAATATCAATCATAAAATGTGAATATCAATCATAAAATATTTTTAAATATACATTTATATGATTTGGAGGTCAGTCGATTTGACGAAATGGGTGAAATGAGGTAACGTTATGCATTTAATGAAGTACTAAAACAGCTGAAAGCTGAAATGTTGGAATCGATGATAAAATTTTTATTATTTGGTCAAAATTAAAATCTCAGGTTCACATATTTGTCTACATCATTTGAACACAGCAGCTGTTCTTTACACTGTGTGAACATTTTGTGACCAATGGATGAATAGAATAAATACCAGTAACGTCTACTGTCAATGTCTATGTATATCTATATCTGTCTATCCATCTATATATATATATATATATATATATATTTAGTTACTTAAGTCACATTTGTGTGGAGATTTAAGATTACATTACGTATCGTATTCCAAAGAGCCTAAATGTGTTTGTGTGTAAGGGTTCTAGGATTTGGACCCGCACTCTTATTTGTCTGTTTGCAGCCAGTGCAGCCATTGATCCCTTTGTTTTTTCCCTCCTGTGCTGTGTGCAGAAGCTGGGTCGCGACCCCTCAGATGAAGACTGCTTCTTTGATCTGCTCAGCAAGTTCCAGAGCAGCCGCATGGATGACCAGCGCTGCCACCTCGACGAGGGAGCAAACGGACAGGATGCAAGCGGTTCCTCCAGAGACTCCGCCCTCAACGACATGCTCGGTCAGTCAGACCTTCAGCTCTTCCCTGTTTGAGCCACAAAGTAACTGCTTTCAGATTGTTTTACTAGCTCAGTACACCTGATCCAGCTCATGGCTTTATTATCGACGAGCTGGATCAGACAAAGGTTCCCAAACACGGTGACAGTAGCCCATCAGTTTATCATGTACCGCTCTACCCTGTTGATCATTAAGACTGATCATTAAGTCATTTTAATGGATTTTGCCATGATGAACGTTCAGTTTTGGTAAGCTTTGACATGCAAATTTGCATCCTCTATCAGTGGTGCTACTGCACTGACCTCTGAAGAGGTGGGGCTTTATAGCACGGAAACTGAAGAAAAGCTAATTTAACCAGTGTCACTATCCTTTTACCATTTATTCCACTCTGGCTATATAGAAACACATCAATGGTAGTATCAATGGTTGTATGTTTAAAGCTAAACCTATGTTAAACAGAAACTGTATGATATGCAGTCAGTTGGGAGACTGTATTACTATCTTGTGGTACTATCTTGGTGTGCAGCACTGTGCTGTGGCAAGTAAATAATTATCTGATGTAGTTATGTTCACATTGTGATTTTACTGGTTGTTTAGACAAGTTAGCCAGCTTGCTAACTGGACCAATGTAGAGGTTTGCCCAACTCAAACTTCTTAAGTTCTGTAGAATTAGTTTTCGGTAACTCTTTATTTGGATAGTCCACTTTAGATGCTTTGTAGATGTTTAATTCACATAAATTACATTCAACTAAATATCTACTAAATTGACCATAATTGTCTTTAACTCTAAACCTGCTCTAATCCTAACCCTAACATTAACCTCAACCCAAAACCTCAACCCAACCCTCACCCTGGTCCTAGCCCTAACCCTGGTCCAAATCCTAACCCTAACCCCACCTCTGTTTAGAATCAGCTGAGTTTCAGCAGATAGTTTAACAATTTGAGCATCTGTAGATAAGCTATAGGGGACTATAGTGGACTATCCAAATAAAGTGAGACCCAATTTTCTGACTAGCTGTGACTCTTTCTGTTTCACACTCCCTAATCTTGGGCTCTCAGTTATGGGTGTCTGTGGCATCACTGGGATTCAAACTCCTGATTTTGTACTGCTGGAGTAAACACGTGGATTGCACCCGCTCGGGAGCCCCTGATGTGGCTCAGATTTCTGGGTCCATAAATGTTTAATACATTCAACCCAATATCAAGAGGCTCTGAGTTTGAACCGCAGCAATAGGACAAGGATGCCAAGAGCAGTCCTGTGGTCATTACTGACCAGTGATGAGTGGGGTAGCGGAGGCTGATAAATTGTGCAGCAACAAATTTACTACGGTCTGTAATTGTACACCTACATAGTGGAGCTCTAAGTTACCTATAAAGTGGCCAGTCATAGAAGAAGGTAGGTGTTTCTAATAAAGTGGACAGTAAGTAATAGAAGAAGATTGGTGTTTCTAATAAAGTGGACAGTGAGTCATAGAAGAAGGTAGGTGTTTCTAATAAAGTGGCCAGTGAGTGATAGCAGAAGGTAGGTGTTTTTAATAAAGTGGACAGTGAGTGGAAGTACAAGGTAGGTGTTTCTAATAAAATGGCCAGTGAGTGATAGCAGAAGGTTGGTGTTTTTAATAAAGTGGACAGTGAGTGGAAGTGCAAGGTAAGTGTTTCTAATAAAGTGGCTAGTGAGTCAGAGAAGAAAGTAGGTGTTTCTTATAAAGTGGCCAGTGAGTGGAAGAAGAAAGTAAGTGTTTCTCATGAAGTGGCCTGTGAGTCTATATAAAGCTGTATAGTTGACTCATCCTCCTCTCTGTGTTGTTTACACAGAAGCCAGCCTCCTCACCTCTCCTCAGACGGAGGAACTCTTTGACCTGATTGCGAGCTCTCAGAGCCGGCGGCTGGATGACCAGCGGGTGAGTGTCAGCAACCTACCAGGTCTGAGGATCACCCACAATAACCTGGGCCACCTCTGCGCCGACCCCGACCCACAAGAGCCCAGCGACGACTTCTTCAACATGCTCATCAAGTGCCAGGTGAGGGCGCCAGTGAGCAGTTCATAGTGTATAGGCTACATTCACATTACAGGCTTAAAGTGGTACAAATCTGAGACAAATCTTTGGCCTAAATGTGATACATCTAATTTAACCCACGTTTATATGTGCTTCTAGTTTAGATTTATGTGTGTGACCATGTGACCACTGTAAAAATTGCACACTGTGCAAATGCACATCACTGTCATCATCGTCCAGTGTGAGCGTACGCTTGTAACACACTGTTATTTAAGTTAAAATGCTGTGTGACTCAACTAAAAACTGTAGTAGCAACAACCATAAAGGCCGAAACTTGTTCAAAAAGAGCAGATACTATTTGGGTGGTGGGTCATTCTCAGCACTGCACTAACACTGATGTGGTGGTGTGTGTTGCGCTGGTCTGAGTGGATCAGACACAGCAGTGCTGCTGGAGTTTTTTAACACTGTGTCCACTCACTGTCCACTCTATTAGACACTCCTACCTTGTCAGTCCACCTTGTAGATGTTAACTCATCTGCTGCTGCACAGTTTGTGTTGGTCATCCTCTAGTCCTTCATCAGTGGTCACAGGACGCTGAACACAGGACACTGTTGGCTGAATATTCTTGGTTGGTGGACTATTCCACACACCACCACCACGTCAGTGTTACTGCAGTGCTGAGAATGATCCACCACCCAAGTAGGACCTGCTCTGTGAGGGTCCATGGGGGTTCTGACCACTGAAGAACAGGGTAAAAGGGGGCTAACAAAGTATGCAGAGAAACAGATGGACTACAGTCTGTAATTGTAGAACTACAAAGGGCACCTATATAGTAAGTGGAGCTGATAAAATGGACAATGAGCGTAGAAACAAGGAGGTGGTCATAATGTTATGCCTGATCGGTGTAAGTAGACAATAAAAACTAAGGTCTGGTGTTGGAGTTATAGAAAGCCAGGGCCAAACCTGTTCTGTGGCATCTGGAGCTGTTGAGATAACAGTAACTTAGTTAGCATGCTAAAAGTGCCACAAACCACAGTACAGCCTCGGTTTCAGCTAACTGATGTTCAAGTTACACACATTTATATTCAAGATAAATACTTGAATCTGAGAGCGAGTGACTGGTGTTGGAGTGAAAGCTGAAACTGAACGTGCGGTATATCCCTGCTGAGAAAGGCCAGTACGATTAAAACCTGATTATTTTGCTTTCTACTGGAAACTGGCTTAATGGTTACCATAAGAGACCACTAGTTTCCTAGTTTACTAGATCCCATTAGGAAACTTTTAATGGTTTCTGTGCTTCTGTTTAGCAGGGTTAGCCATTGCAGAGCCACTGTCCTGTGTAGTTTTTCTTTGGTATTTTTGCAGCCCTGATTTAGGAGCACATCAGACAGAACAAGAAACCCTGACCAGTGTGGAGTCTAATCATACATCCCCATCCTGATCTTAATTCTCTTGTAATTTTCACAGTGTTATTCGAATGAATAAAAAAGCATAGGTGGACATGTGCCTGATCTTTTGTGAAACATGCTAACTTAATAACTGTCCGAAGGTCCTTGGGAGGTGAAATCAGGATGGGGGGATGTGAGATTGAGCTTCACACCGGCACAATACAGCTGTGGGAACTGTTTGTGGAGGTTCGCAGCATCTGTTAAGCGATTAGAGGGTGCTTAATTTGCAGTTGGACACATTTCCAGAGGCAAAATGTGTTAATTTGGTTGTTTACTAGATAAAAGCATTATGGGAATTTGACATTTTATTACTGTTATACCACCCAGCTCTTATAACACCCACATAAGTAAGTCTATTAGAAAATACTTAACAACTGAACACCGAGTTAGACAACTGAGATAGGCATGAAGTTAGCCTCATGCTAATTGGTAGGTTATAAACATTCCATGTTAGCTACATTAGCCTTGTAGCTCCAGTGCAAAACCGAAGAGGCAAATTTCAGACACCAAACAAGTCGTCTAAGCTGTGAGAACAACAAGAAATTCCCTTTAATAACTCCACCATGCTGAAACCCTGTCTCGTTGCAGTCCTCCAGAATAGACGACCAGCGCTGCTCTCCTCCCGAGGGGGGCCCGCGAGCCCCCACCGTCCCAGACGAAGACTTCTTCAGCCTGATCCAGAGGGTCCAGGCCAAAAGGATGGACGAACAGCGCGTCCAGCTGCCCTCAGACAACCAGGGCCAGAGTGACCAGCAGGATGAAGATGACCCTGCTGCTGGAGACTCCAGCTAAGCAGGTCCAGCTGAGGAGGGACGAAGAAAGCGAGAGAACTGAGCCTAAAACTGCAAAAGCCAGGACTGAATGATGGAGGGATGGATTTCAATCACGACTATGTTCTCTCGAGCCGACGAGAGGAGCTCTGAAGTACGCTTCGGCGAGACGGCGACGTGCATTTGCCAACTTTAAGTGTGCACCTGGTGATCAAATAGCATTGAGTGTTAGCGTTAGCATTGAGCCTCACTGGGTGCACCATTCTAAATGCACCTTATGTGACTTATCAGCCACAAACGACCAGCAACGATTGCTCAAATGCTAAGTGATTTTCATTGAACTGCCCATGCGCCATTAGCCTACTTCTGGGCTAGTATTGAAGTGGGGACTAGCTAGCGGCTAGCGGCTAACTACTGAGATCTATCCCACGTTTCTGAAACATCGCTATTGCTAAAGTCTCCAAATCTCTGGTTTGGAAGTGCCACAGGACTTTTATCATGTTCCTCTTGCATATACTGCCTTAATTCAATTCACGGACTCCGATTGTATTCTCTAGTGCTGGATACTCTCTTTGCGAGTGCGTTTCAAAGAAGCTTCATTTCGTTTCGGACGACAGTGTTACTATTCCAGAGGCCGTGGCATGTTCAGTCTCAGTGTTAGGTAGCTGCTATCTTCACCCCTTTTTTGAAACCAGAATACATTTCGAACTCAGCATTGTTGTTTATTGTACTGTTCATTATCCACCCAACGCCATCATTGTAAAAACCTCATTAGGAATAGGGCTGTTTTTTCTGCTTTCATTTTCTTTTTTATGTTAAGGATCATGTAAAGTGTGTATTTATTGCAATGGTTAAAAAAAGACTGACATTAGCAAAGACTGTGAATAATCGACAGTTTAAAATATAGAATAATTATGGCAGACAGGGCCACATAAAACGATGCAACAACCATGCTCGAGAAATCTTATATAAATAAGCTCCTGCAAGAGCGACCCAGTCTAACTGCATCAGTGTTGTTTCATAAGTGATGCTTTTACAAAGTGGTCCACTGATGCAGTTGAGTAATATCGACAGGCCGCTTAACATGCTAGTTGTGATCGGTTGCTAGCTTGTTTTCTGCTGTTGGTCTGATTTCAGTTCAGCTGTTGAAGGGGAATTTCACCTCTTTTTTTAAATTTCTTCTGAATTGTCAACCTGAACAGTCATTCAGGGTGGTTTGGTGTGAAGTGGTTCATTTTAGAAGCTCTGATTTCTTTACAGTAGTGGTGATAGGAACCAGGGGTCGCCATGACTACAATACAAATGTAGACATTTTTTAATCTAATTTTTATATCTAATGCTGATGATGGTAAACTAGATCCGAAAAAAAAAGTTTGGGACTATTTGGGGACTGTTTTGCCTCACAACGGCCTGCATGTACCACTCCGCCATGAATATGATTTAAAAAGTACTTTTAGGCCAAAATCTAGTCAGACATCAGGCAGCGTATTCATAACCATTTCATGCGAGGAAGCTTTTAGAGGTGGACGTCTGGTTCCTATCACCACCACTGTGAACAATTCCCACTCTTAAGTTTCTCCAGACCGGAGCATTTCACACCAAACCACTCTGAATGACTCTGTTTACATCTTAACCGTTTAATTATAAACATTTAATTTAATTGTTGTTGAAAATTTGGTGGATGTCCCCTTTAAGCCCAGTTCCCACTTATCTGACAGAGGCAAAACAAAGAGTTTTAGTATATTGTAGACTGTGGTTCTCAAAACAATCACTAAAACCCGGCATCCACTCTGAAACAGCAGTTAAAGAGTAAATTTTTTGAAATACAAGATGATAAAATGCACCATTGTTCAGTAAATAATTTAATTTATGATTAAAATTTATCACAATAAATACTTTTTCCACCAAAAAATGTGGGCTAGGGATGCAAACAACCACATTAAGGCCCACTACAAAGCAAATTTTTACTTTGGAGCATTAAAGGCCCAAGGAAAATCATATTTTTCTCAATTTAATCAAATTGGAGTTTGAAGCCAATTCAAAATTCAGCTTTTATGATGTCACAAAAACGAACATGTTAATGTATATCCACCTATTCAGCCCACAGCAGTTTAGCCCCCCCCATTCACACTGAAGTTATTAAGAAGTGTTTCAGCAAGTACTGTTTTTTTGAATGAAGTGCAATACATGGCAGCCAATCAGAACAGAGGTGATTTACATGTGTCAGTCTTAAAGGCCCAGTCTGTTTAATTATAACTAAACAGATGGCGTCTCTTCAGTGATAAACTCTGTAAAAATGATTTTTATAAAATAATACAAAGAGCGTCCAAGATTTTTGGCTTTCAGCAGTAAATTGTAAGCATATAGCAATATGTGTATGATCATAAAACACGTTCTGTAAATCTGAGGGGAGCTTTTACAATAAATAAATAAATAAAATAAAAAATTACATTTATTTCATGCAGTTACTGAATAATCTCCCTTATGATTTAGTCATGTAAATTCAAATGGACAAACCAAAATATACCCTGGAGAATAATTAAACTGCCAGCATCTGATCCTGATCCAAGTCTTAAAACATTCTAAAACAGTTTTGTCTGGTGGGATGAGAGCGAACTGGGCTTTAAGCGCATTGAAACTCCGCTGACTGTTACACCTGGAACAGCCCAACAGTGAGTGAGTGCACTGCCACCTTGCGGTTATGAGTGTCCGAGTCAGCTGCCGGTTTTATTGGCCTCCTTTCTGGAGCAGTGCTGAAATACTTGCTCTGAGATGTACGAGATTCAAGCACTTTTTAATGATGTAAATGCAAGAAAATTGCTGTGTAGATGTAGTCATTCAGTTTTTTAGGCTTACTTTAACTGTTTAATTTGTTTTTCCCCGTAAACTGATGTTAGTGCCTAGTGTGAATATGGACAGTCATCTTTTAGTCGCTGCATTTTAGGCCCCAGTTGCATTCAGTGGACCTACAGAGACAGAATTATTATGCATAATATTATATATTATACTAAGGACACCTTAAAGGCATCCATAACTGTACACCTTACAGACATATAACAGTTGAGTAAGTTTACACATTACTGAAGCCCGATTAGTTTAGCTTAAAAAAAATAAATTTTAAATTTTATTGACTACATTTTACGTAAGCCTGTTATGATTTAAGAAGTATAACTGGTAACTCTTTAGCGCAGGGCAAACATAAGTACAAAACAAGAAAGCTTTTTGCTCTTTCTCTGGCTGAAGTATAAGCTGTAATTTTTCCATTCCTAATGAATCATTTCAACACTTAATATAATTAATATATGATACTCTAACAGGAGATCCGGTACGCTTTTGAAAGGTCACTGCCATAATGTCCATTTTTGTATTTATTTTCTGTTTGTGGACATGCACGTCCACTTGTTTTAATAAAACATTGATGAAACATTATTGCCTTGTGCTGTGCTATATTGGAAATTATAAAATGGATAGTTCCGTCCTGAAATCTGATTGGCTGAGCCGCGTTCAAAGCCGTTGTAAAATCCATGGCTATGACTGCCTCACAGCAACTGAACTCTGTATTACTGCGCCACGGCATGACTACAACACAAACATAGGCATTTTTTGTATAATTTTCATATCTTATGTTGATGATATTAAGCTAGACAAGAAAAAAAAAAGGTTGGGACTATTTGGGGACTGTTTTGCCTCACAACGGCCTGCATGTACCACTCCGCCATGAATATGATTTAAAAAGTACTTTTAGGCCAAAATCTTCTCAGACATCAGGCAGTGAATTCATAACCGTTTCATGTAGTGACTTTCTGTGAGGGAGCTTTTAGAGGTGGACATCTGGTTCCTATCACCACCACTGTGAACAATTCCGACTCAGTAAGTTTCTCCATAACAGAGCATTTCACACCAAACCACTCTGAACGACTCTGTTTACATCTTAACTCTTTAATTATAACCATTTAATTTAATTATTAACTTTTGAAAATTTGGTGGAAGTCCCCCGTTAAACATTGATTGCTCTGTGCTGTAGACCACTGTAGTTGTGTCGTCATTTTGTAGTCGGCGCCAGAGCCATGTAGAGAGAGAGAGTAGCATCAATGGAAGTTCAAAATGCTTGATGGTCACGTGATTCACCTAGACTTCAGATAGTTCCAAGAAGTTCTTTGCGGGCATTTTAAACCCATAAAAACAGAGTGACAGAACTGCGTCTTTTGGTACTTAGCAGTCAATAAATGCACTGATTTACAATATTGCTATAGAAAACCTGCGTGTGTATGTAGTTACAACAATCTGATATATTTAAAAGTAAACATCGCCACTATTTAAGGATTAAACAGCTATCGTTACTCACCTTGTTGACATGTTGGGTTAATGTCAACATGGTTTCAAAGTGTGTTGTCGTTGTTTATTGCTTTGAGGTTTCAGTATTATAGATATTATGTTCCTAAACTTGTATGGTAGTTAAGATCAGTCATATCCTAATGTTTACTGATATACTGAGAGGGAAGGGAAGGGATGTTTCAAAATTGAGATCAGATGAATTTTCTAACATAAATACATCCTTAATTAATGGTTGTTTCAGTAATCCCAAGGCCTAGATGATCTTGACTTGATGACCACTGTAAACTCTATGGCTTTCCGAAAGGACAGAAGGAGAAGGAGCCAAAGGGATTTGTTTGGTTTGCATATGCAAAAATCTGCTATTTAAAAGGGTACATTAAAACACATCACATCCAGACAGAACAGGACATCTCTCTACATGGCTCTGGTCAGCGCCATGTTCTTATGCCCATATTAGGAACTCCGGGTCTGAGCTTCATTTCTCTATGGCCAGAATGAATAGGGTTTTCGTAAAATCGCCTCTAGCGCCCCCTGTGTTAAATAAAAATGTTCAGAACCCGATACGGTTTGTCCTGTGAACGTTCTTCTCTCGAATACCACTGGATCCTCTGAATTATGAGGGGCGTTAAAGAGTTGAAATATGAATATTGCTACATGTGAGCTAAAGCTACCGCACTGAATTCACATCATTAGACGGGCAGGGTCCTTAAGCGGGTTTTGGCAGCGTACATTTCTATTTACAGACTGAGGGCGATGAAAAGAAGTCAGAACAAAATCAGCAGGTCTCCTTGCAGTTCTGTGTTCTTCATCTGATGCTCAGTGAAACAGAATAGATTTCTCCTTTTAGCGTGATTTGAAAAGATCTACAAACGAACCTGAACTCAGGCTGATCCAGTACAGACTCAGCTTAGTATCACTGCTCACCCGGATAAACTGATTTAGGCTCTCAGAATATCCTCATAATTATTTTAATGCTGGTAACATTTTTCTGAGGACAGTTTCTCAGGACATTCGCCAGCTTTTTGTTCGACTTTTCCCGTTCCACCTTAAAGTCACGTTCTGAACTGCTGAACGTGACTTTAAGCAGCTGACTGCAGCTTCGTGGAGGGCTGGAAGGCCTGAAATGAGGAGGTTTATCTATTTCCGCTGAGTAACATTAACTTATTTTTGCTGTTTCACAGAACCGACAGGTCAGTAGTTTCGTCTCGTTTGCTTATGTTTGTGATAGCTACTCACAGCTGCTGCACCATTTAAGGTGGAACGGGAACATTCAAACAAGAAACTGCGAAAAAAGAAGCTGAATAGTTTTAACACAGGTAGTATTTTTGATAAGGAGTTTTAGCCTATTAAAATATCCCACCCAGAGGTTTTATTTAGGTAGAACATTTCGATAAGGTAGCACAGCTCGTCAGAGCTCCGCCACAGCCCGCCTTAGTGTCGTGTAGCTTAGGCTACGGTTACACAGCAGGTAAAAGTGGCCCACATCTAATTTTTCACCAAATCCGTTTTTTTTTTGTTTGCCTGTTCACATTATCTTTTAAATGTGATCTGTATGCGACATCAGTCTGAACAGATCAGCTCCTAAACCGACCCGCATGCGCAGAAGAACAGTTCTTCACGCAGCTCGTCCAGAGGTAAACAGTCATGACGGCCAGTGAACGCCAGTCGCTCCCGGAGGGTTCAGTTTCGGCTTCGCCAGCATCACAGGAGCGATTATGAAGTTCCAGTGGTTGACAGCTGGACTTATCACCCACAGTGTGTTCGAGTTCGCCGTAAAAAGGGCGCGATATTCGGCCGCTCCTTTGGTTCGAGTCCTCGGATTCTTTAAACTGTTCTCTGACGCTGCAGCCTCGGGCTCCTCCGGCCGCGCTCGGCCGGTCCGTTTGAACACGGAACGGTTTGATGAGTCTCTTATAATTTTTTTGTACAGAAACATCAGACTGTTTATTACTGAGTCTCGGCAGCGCGAAATTATGACGAATGTCGAGTTGGACTGTAAAAGTCGCATGAATTCCGATCTGGCTGTTCAGACTGAGTCGCATTGCCGCAGATCGGATATGAATCGGATTTCAGTACCACATATCAAAGCGTCTCAAATCGGAATTGAAAATGTCAGATTCAGTGCGGTTTTTGCTGTTCACACTGCCACACAGACACACATCTGTGTCACATTTGAGGAAAAAGATCGGATTTGGGCCACTTTTACCTGCTGTGTAAACGCAGCCTTAGTGACATCAAACTGATGCGCAGTAGCTTTAGCTCACGTGTAGCAATATTAGTATTATAGCTCTTTAACACCCTCATAATTCAGAGGATCCAGTGGTATTCGGGAGAAAAATGTTCACAGGACACACCGTGTCGGGTTCTGAACATTTTTATTTAACACGGGGGGCGCTAGAAGCGATTTTTTGAAAACCCTATTCATTCTGGCCACAGAGAAATGGAGCTTAGACCAGGTGTTCCTAATATGGGCATAACGAGGACTACAGAATGACACACGAACGGATAGTTCCAGTCCTATATTCTGATTGGCTGAGCCACATTCGAAGCCGTTGTAAAACCCACGATATGACCGCCTCACATCAACTGAACTCTGTATCACTGCACCACGGCACGAAAAACGCTTCTGCTGTTAATGGATTAATCTTTGTCTCTAATGCTGATCACGAAGCACTGAGTGTACTGATAAAGTAAGAACATGTTTTGTTTAAACTGAGGGGCTGGAGACTTATTTTCTTAACTAGTACTAGGCTGGTCAGCTAGCTAACAGGGTAAAAGATAGCAAACATGCTAAATAACTCCAACATTAATATCACAGGTTTGAATTAAAGTTCTCACGATATGATTCACTGAAAAACGGCAATATAAAAGTCTAAAGAACGTCACCTGAATAGGTTACAAGCTTTAAATGTCCGTGTTTCAGCCAGAAGTCGCGTCAAACCCAGGCTGAATCCCAAACGGCTCTGTACTCCCTAAAAAGTGTGCTGTGTAACATAAAGTTCAGAAATTCTAGCTTCTGCTGTCAAATAGTGACTGCTTGTCGAGTATGAATGTGGAGGAATCCCAAATGACCATTTGTAGTGATGTTTTGCATTGTTGGGCTGTCAGTATTTAAACTCCTTCGTAGTGCACTATGTAGGGAGCAGGGAGCCGTTTGAGATTCAGCCCCAGCGTGAGAAAAGTGGCGTCATCGGACTGGCAGAAGACTCGCGGTGGTAATCTGGTGACCAAAAAGTACTTATAAACTGAAAGTATTTGCATTAAACAGTGCTGTGTTATCATATGTTCACTGTTATATACGAAAAAAAGTTTTTAAAAATCATGAAATGTCTGCAGTATAACTTACAGTGATGGGCGACCGAACCTTCTTCTCCTTATTCAGCGTCCAATGGTTGCTTAGCAACAGTACCGCACTCTGAAGGAACTACATTTCTTGGCGGAAAACTTGTTTATGTCGATTATTACTAATAATAATGTAAATAATTAATTAAAAACATTGTGTATTTTAATATATTTTATGTTGGCCGCCATTTTATAAAAGCAATAAGCCACTTGAGGCAGTGTGTTACTGTGATTTTATCACAGGGAAGGGAGTTTTACTCCGCTTCACGTCGTGCCAAAGAACACCCTTCCCCGTGATAAAATCTCAGTAACCCACGGCCTCTCGTGGCTTATTGCTTTATTGATTGTCGAAGGGGAACTCCACCTATTTTTCAGAATTTCACCATCAGTGCTTGAGATGTAAACATTCAGAGATGCTTAGCCGTAATGATGCGTTCTAGAGACTTTGATTTTCTTACAGTGGTGGTGATAGACACCAGGGGTCACCATGACTACAACACAAATATAGCCATTTAATTTACTATTCAAAACCAACAGTGAACCTACAGGAGTCTAGAGTTTTCAAATCAAATCAAATCAAATCAGATTTATTGTCACATCACAAGAGTACAGGGACACAGGTGAGTGAAAAACTTGAGTGCGAGTTCCACAAATTATGCAGAGAACAGTATTTACACATAGATAAACAAAACTATAGATAGGATAGAAGAATAGATAAAACCAATTTAACTAAAATATATACATATAATCTT